GGCTATAAGTACGACCTCCATGGGTTAGGTCTCCCCACCCTGACTTTTTTGCTGTCTTAATTATAGCTTCAGAAAACTGTTTGTTGGTTTTGAGCATTCCCATGGTTCTGTACCAGACATGGCCCCAGGAACATCTTTCCAAATTAAAAGTTTAAGGAGGGATGTGTGTGTGTGTGTGTGTGTGTGTGTGTGTGTGTGTGTGTAGCTGTAGCCTGTTTTCCCTTCCAGTTCTTTCTCCACAAGTTTACCTCTCTTGTTAGACAGGAGGCCTTGAGGATCCCGCACCCAAGAATTGAGGCAGGGAGATGAATCCCAAGTCTCGGTAGGTGCCAGATCTGGGGGGAGCCCAAATGTATGGGGAGGCTCTGCTTCCTCGTGTAAGGGGGTTGCAGAGAGCTGGAGTCAGTGGGAGAGATCACGGTCCTGTCTGTGAGGCTCTGACAAAGGTTCCCAGGGAAAAATGAACTTGGGAAGGCAGATCTCAGGTTCCCAGGAAACACTAACGTTTTAAAGGATATCCAGCCCTCAAGAGAGGCACAGCTTCTTCTCAGGAATCTTGCAAGACTGGGAGGGTGGACTTGGGTGGAGGGAGTGCAAGAAGGCTTAGATGTTGAAATCACACTAGGGGATTGAAGTTGGAATTACTGAACTAAGCTATTCCAGAACCATCTATTAGTCTGAGACTTTCTAAAAACACTATTTACCTACATCGCCCATTTTAACACTTAAGGAGTATCCTCTGCTTAAAAATGTGTTTCTCTCCTGAGGAGGGAAAAATGAATTACTCGAGTGGAAATTAGAGTCCAGTAGGGCAACTGTCGCCAGCTCTGTTCTCTCTCTCTCTGTAGATTTAGGTTCCACTGGCGAAGGCCTGCGTGGCAGGAGAGCTAGAAACTGTACATTGAAAGTCAAATGGGGGTTCTTATCTAAGACTTCTTCTGCAGAAGCCCCGGGTCCTTATCACGCTATCTCCACTGCCCTCTTTCTTCCAAGCGCAGTGTTCATTAGCGTCACAGACACAGCTTCTAGTCCTCAGGCATCGAGACCCCAGCTCTTTTAATTTTCTTACAAAGCAGGCAAAGGTGGTATCTTTAATTTGGTCCACGCGAACGTGTCTTTGGGGGTGACCTTCAGGGGAAAGACTCTCTGTGTTCAGTTTCTATCCCGAGCCGCTCTTTTCCTCTCGCGTCACTGGGAACAGTAACCAGAGAAGCTCTGCTTCCTCAGACCCCAGTGCTCCCACTGGCTGTTCCTCAAGACTCTGTTTACCTCATCTTGGAGTCTCAGGAGCATTCCTTGAATGTTCTCATGGCATTCCAAGGCATTTCCAAGGGCTGTGAGGTTAAGCAGCAGCAGAAGGAGATGGATGTCTTTGCAGGGCTGATCTCCCTGATCTGTGGGCTCAAGAACCACTTTGGGCCCCAGAGTGTAGGAGATCCTACCCAGCGGGTGGGCTCAGTGGGCTGTTCCAGAGAGGAGATGTGGAAACATGGAGTGGCCAGTGGACACCAGCGCCAGGGATTTAGACTACAGTCAGCAAGAATGGTGTGTGTTCACAAAAGGCCCTTTAAAAGGGTTAGGGCAGCTCTTGCTGGTATGGCTCAGTGGATTGAGTGCTGGCCTGTGAACCAAAGGATCGCTGGTTCAATTCCCAGCCAGGCCACATGCTTGGATTGTGGGCCAGGCCCCCAGTAGGGGGCATACAAGAGGCAACAACACATTGATGTTTCTCTCCCTCTCTTTCTCCCTCCCTTCCCCTCTCTCTAAAACTAAACCTTCTAAATCATATATATATATATATATATGCCCTATATATATATATTAGGGCAGGAGTAAGTAAAACTGCAGAGCCTGCAGTAATGAAAAGTCTCCTTGGATGTCAGAGTCCTAGCCGTGAGAGCAAACTGGGGAGAACAGCAGTTAGGGAAAAGGATCGATGATCGTCTTCCTACAGCGAAAATGCATTCGCCCAGGAAAACGAATCCTTATTTTTAGAAAGAAGAGCAGCTTGGAATTTCCTCCTGTTTGCCAGCTTTGGGCCTGGTGAGGAGGACTGAAACTAGGGAGTTAGGGGAAAGAGGATCGGAGCCTTTGGAACCCGGAAGCAAAGGACAGGCCGAGAGGTCCTTATCGGCCATCGATGTATCGAAGGCTGCTGGGGGCTTACGCTGCAAATGGCTGGCACGGGTCGCATCTGAAGACAACTTACATCAGAGGCTTCTAAAAGACTTTGTTTTTTTAAAGGAGGAAGTAAAATTCAAGATTTGATTGCGATGTCGTTGGTTTATGTCTAAGTGATTACGTTTCTTTAGATACGCACGCCAACTGGTACTTCAAATAAAAATCTATGTGCAAATCAAGACAGCTTTTATTTATATACGTATACTTTCATTTTAATAAAGAGTTTATTTTAGGAGAAGAAACTCATCGCAGGGCCGCCTTCGTCTTTTCTTTTCCTGGCGCCACCAGAAACCACACGCAACACCTGGGAGGAGCGCATGGCACCTGCGGAGCGCACCTTGCGGTTTCGATTCCGATACCTTAATAGCAGGCGCCCACACCGCGCCTGCGCCTCCCCGAACGGGAAGGGAGAAGTGCAATCCCTGCTCTGAGAAACCTCCCAAGAACAGCATCGTGTTGTTTTCATTTCCTCAGGTGCTTTCTGCTCCGGAAGCTCAGAGGCAGCCTCAAGGCCTTGTCACCGGGCTCCGTCAGAAACGGGTTGGACGTGGTATTCTAGCTTTCCCAGCGAGAGCACTTCCTATCCCAGGAAGGTCGGCGAGGTGGTGGGAATAGCACTGGCCTCTCCAGACTGATAGTGAGCCTGAAAATTAGAAACTGGGCTTCCATCCAGGGACTCCAAGCCAACAGTGCATTTTAAAACGATCAGAAAACTGGACACAGGCCTTGGTGGGGGAAGCGGCGGGGGTGGGGGTGGGGCAGGCATTTGATACAAGAATGGCTTTGTTTCCCAGGGAGCTGTGGTCTTTCCAGGTCACTGGGGGACTTGAGGCGGAGGATGCCAGTCCCGCCTTCCTGATGGAGCTGTGGCCTGTCCCTGCTCAGCCTGCCTCAGAGTGGGCGCTTGTGGACGGCCTTTCCCACAGGCCGTTTCCATCCTGTTCTAGGATAAACGTGGCCTTGGGCTGGCACTGTAGGATGGAAACATCTTACAGAGGAAGTCACGTGTGTTTCACCCTTCCGTTTGCCACTTGTTAGCTCTGTAACCTTGGGTAAGTCTTTGGGGTTCTCTAAACCTCATTCCCTTGCCTGTAAATTGTAATACTTTGTAGACTTATGAGGATTAAGTAAGATTTCAAATGTAGACTCATTTCAGTTCATTGGAAATCACCTACAGGGGAATTCAGGGCTTCCCACGGCCTTAAACAAGGTGTTTTTTTAACACCTCCCTCCACAGCTTGTTTGCACCCTCACTCCTGTGCAAGAAGTGAAAGGCGCTGGAGGCCAGGAGGGGTGCACACAGCTCAGTCTGGCTCCTTCCCAATGCCTCAACATTCCAGAAGCCCCAGATGCTACCGATCTCCCCTTTTCTGTTCTTCTTTGCCAAAGCCCTCTTGTCCCTTCGGCGGTCCTTGCTGTATTTGTGCATCCGAGGGAGCTGGTGGGGGCTGGTGGGGGGGCACTGGATGCCTGAGCTTTGACTGCTCGGCCCCTGTCGAGACTCTTTGCTCGTCTTCTACGACAGTCTACATGCTTACTCTGGGGCTGCCTGAAGTTCAAGGTGCACTCACTCTGCTCCGAGGGACAACAGCTTCCTCCCCTGTGCTCCGGTTGTTCTGAGTCAGAACCTCAGGTGTCTGGAAAGAATGAGTGCCTTCACCCTATTATGAAAGCTGTGAGGGGTGGGGGTGGGCAGGGGCCAAGGAAGGCTGTGGTAAGGATGAGGAGGAAGATTTCCCACCCACTTCCTGGGGACGACCAGGACAAATTAATGAACAAATCCTCATAAGTCATCTTCTTTCTTATTCTAGCACCCCGAGGCATTTTACATCTGATCTTGGAGCCTTGGAAGATTGGTTAAAGCCTCATCCCAATAAGCCAAAGGTTGCAGTTTCGATCCCCGGTCAGGACATGTACAGGAATTGACCAAAGAATGCATAAATAAGTGGAACAACATATTGATGTCTCTCTCACGTGTGCTCTTTCTCCCTGCCCCCCTCTCTAAAAATCAATAAATAAAAAATTAACCTAGCATGTTCAGGAGCCAACGCCCTGGCCTCTGTGCCAGGCCAGAATGGTACTAGGAACGGCATCTGAGACTGGCATGTACACGTATATTTCTCATCAGTTTCCACTCCCCCAGGCCTGGGGGCTGCAAAGGAAGGCATTTCTGGCCCTGGGAGTTTTGAAGCAGTAAGAAACATGGTGGGAGCCAAACACCCTCCCAGGTGGAGGTGCTAAGAAGGCAATGCATAGACTCTGTGGGCTGGGGCCATCCCAGAATCCACGTATGGACAGAAGCACAGACCTTTGCGATGAAGCTCCCATGACGGGTAAGGACTATGGGAAAGTGGGAGAAGAAGGACCTAAAACCTGTGAGGAATGCCAACCGTAGGGGCAGTTTGGGCTCTCCAAATTTCCACGTGAATCCTGCTCCCTGAGCGAGCCCCCTCACCTGGCCCTGTTTGCCCGTCCCACCCCATCTGCTGTCGCTCCATGTCAGGCTTCCCACCCATGCAAGGACACTCTAGGAACATCATTTGAGTCTTAGAATGTTATGGTTTTTGGTGCCATAGGTTCTTTGAAGAGGGCCTCCTTCCCTGAACCCCCAAGGAAGGACACTTCCCGTGCAGAACGTTGCAGAGAGAAAGACCCGGAAGGACCCCTCCCATGCCCGGGACCATCCCTGTGCCACTGAGCTGTGGATGGCACAAGTCAGGTGGCTGTGGGTCTTGCTTTTGCAGCCCTCTGGGCTGGGCGCAGCCACAGGGGGAGGAGCCTGTCGCGGGTATCAGAGCACCTGGACCAGAGCGGTCAGCTGCCTTCATGAGCTAGGAAAACGGAATCACATGGGGGGAAAGAACCCTGGGTCTCCAAAGCTCTTGGGCCCTTCCTGTGGCTCTTTGGGAACACAAGGAAAGCACAAATTTGTTGGAGTAACAACCCTAACATTTATTCTCGCGTGGGGAGTAGGAGGGATAAGGTGTTGATGTACTGTCTCTCTTGCCGGTGGCGTCTTGAGGAGACAGGGCCACTGTTCCTGGTGTGAATCCAGGTCCCTGGAGAGTCATCAGCTGAGAAAGCAAGTCTCATCACCCTAAAGACCTGGCCTCTAGTCCTCTCAAACCTACATCTGCCAGGAAACCCTCTCCGCGATGACCAGAGAAGCTCTCACACTCCTTATGTTAACTCTGAGGTGCTGTAGAGGAGAGGGAGTATGCAAAGCAGGGTTGGGCGGGAAGGCTCTGGGGCTCACAACCTGGCTAGGGGGCGGGGCGTGTCAGGTCAGGTGTTCCCCGAACGTTCGCACTTTCCCTCCTCCCCTCCCTCCCCCTCCCAAGACCCCAGTCACTGACTGGACCAGTCCCTCCCCAGAGTTCAGAGGCATCAGTCCAAGGACAGAACTGCAAGAGTATGGACACAAAACACCAAACAATTTGGGGGTGGGCTCCCAGCCAGTGTGGTGAGAGACGGTCCTGTGTCCAGGGCCATTTCCAGCTCTGAGCAGCAGAGGGCGCTGGGGCCTCTGGGGCAGCTCAGTGTTGGGAAGCGCTTCACCTCATCTCCCTAGAGTCTCAGGGGAGCACAGGCGCGGGGGCGGAGCTTACGGGCAGCCAGGGACAGAGCTCACAGGGAGACTGGAGAGTGATCGGCAGTTTCATTAAAGCCAAGTTAGAGCTGCCTCTAGTGCCTGCGGGAAGTGCAGGAAGGGAGGGGCCTCCAGGAAAGGGCTGGGGACCCAAGTGTCCAGCGCGGAGCACAGCGCACTCAGCTGCGTCCTCTGACACTACCCCACCCTGCGCCTCTGGCCAGCTGCAGACGGGGACCCAGATTTGTGCTTGATCGGGGCTTCGGAGCAGGGCGGTGGCAGAGGCACTCTGGGGCTGTCCTGGAGGCTGCTGGTCCTGGGATCCTCTGTAAAGTACCCATGTCGTCTGGAGAGCCAGGACATGCCGTGGCCCCAGTCTCCCGCCTCCCTGCCGGCGGTGGGGGATCCTCAGACGTGAGTCTGCATCCGCCGCTGCAGGGGTCGGCTGGGGTCGGAGTTCTGGGAAGAGGACTGGGAGTGGTGGGAAGAGGAGGCAGAGGCCTTGCTGGCCTTGTCGAACTGCACGTAGCCGTCCTGCTTGCCGCTGCTGCTGACGCTGCTGTCACACTGCGTGTCCAGGAAGGAGCTGCTGTCGCTGAGGGAGCCCCTCTGGAACTCGCGCTCACAGAGCTCGATGGACGAGCTGCCCATGCCCAGCACGAACCTCTGGCCGTAGTCATAGAGACGGCCCTGGCCGCTCAGGGTGCTGTAGATGTTGGTGAAGGACATGCCCGTGGGCACCCGCTGCTTGCCTGCAGGGCGCAGGTCCGGCTGACAGCTGGACAGTGAGATGGTGGGGGTTGAGTGGTGCTCCTTGAAGGTGTTGACACTGTAGTAGCCATTGGTGGGGTCCTGGGGTAGGGGACAAGAGCAAGAGCAGTGTCACCAGGTGGGGCAGAGATTGCACTGAACTTTCTATGTGGAACCAGTCCTAACTTACCCTGGTGGGGATGAGGAGATACGGGAGGAGGGGGCTGCAGCAGAGAAATGGGTGAGGGAGCATGTGGAAGGGTTACCCTGGTGGGGACACCAAGGGTGTCAGGCATTCAGGTGGCAGCTGGGAGGGGAGGGAGCCAAAAGGAGGGAAGCAGGGGCCTCTCCGTGGGTGTGTTTAGTTATCAGCACAATTCGAGGTCATTTGAGAACCAGACTGTGTTCATTGTTTTTGCCCAGGACACAGATACTTCGTTTTCAAGTGTATCAGTGAAAAGGCTGTGGGCCAGGAGCCTGTGGGAGCTCGACCCTAACTCTGCTGCCTCCTTAGTGTGGTGGTGAGGCAGCAGGTGGGTTTGCAAGGGAGGGACCCACTTTAGGGAGAGGCTAGGCACCTGTCCCCAGAGTGGCCTCTGGCCTCTCTTCTATTCACTGTTATTTGTCTGGACACAGGCAGGGCTCGGGCCATCCGAGCTGAAGATCAGAATCCCATCAGGTGGTGCAGCTGGTGGTCATGCCTACCTTCAGGTTCTGAAACTCCTTCTCCTCTTCTTTGAGGACCTCCAGCTGCTTGAGGACTGAGTCTTGCTGGAATTCACCCCGGTCCATCTGCAACCCAAGAATGGCTGCTCAGGGAGCAGGAGGTGCACTAAGCGCCCACTTCCCCCAAGAAAAAGTAGGAGAAACCAACTTGAAAGAAGCTTGCTGTCTCTGCCTCCCCTCCCCCACCTCCACTGCCTGGCCGGCAGGAGGCAGGTGAAGGAGCAGGAGGAGATTTCAGGTCTTGTGTTGCTCCCCGACCTCTGTCCACCTCTTTCCGGAGAGACAAGGAGAGACAGGGAAGGGGGGTGTGTGGGCGAGAGGCAGGACTCCGAGATCCAACTTACTCCCCTTGGGCTAGGGGGCCACCTACAGAGCTCTCACTTGGCTGATTCATTTCAATCCCTTGACCATTGACTGTAGCAGTCCCCAACCTTTCTGGCATCAGGGACCATTTTCATGGAAGACAATTTTCCACAGATTGGGTCGGGGGAGGGTGGTTTTGAGATGATTCGAGCACATTACATTTAAGCTCATTTAAGCTCATGCCGGGTGGCCGGGTTCCTAACAGCCCCGAACAGGTGGTTGCTGGCCTGCAGCCCTGAGCTTGGGGACCCTGATTTACTGGATTTCAGGTCGGGCACCACACTGTCTTAAGGGCCAGGCCTGCACACATTAAGATACAGCTGTTCCCATCAGGGCGGTGGATCTGTTGATAAATGATTGCAGAACCTAGACCACTGGGCAAGGGGTGGGGCCCTAGCAGAGAGCACGTCACCCAGCGCCTGGCTCAGTGAAGGGTTACGAAGGGGTCACAGTGAACCACGGGGACCCCAGGCCACATGGCAGTGACTGAGATGTCCTGATCTTCCTCAACAGAGACCGAAGAGCTCCAGAGAAGGATCACTTCTTGTTTCTCTTGGGGTCCGCAGCGCACCTGGTGCAGCGCCTTCAGTGCCGCAGCCACTGATCAAAGAGCCTTTCGGGATGGAATGTTTAATTTTTTTTTAAATTAATTCTTTGATGTCCCAGTGTCTAGTGCACTGCTGGGTCTACACACAGTTAGCGTGGGTACAAATGTTACGATTGTGTTGGGCGAGTGCACCAAGTGGTGCAGCTCTAAGTTTCTGAGAATTAAGACGACTACTAAACCGAGGTGAAAGATAAAGCACGCCCCGCACACAATGGGGGTATTAATTAGCCTGAACACTCGCAGGGGTGCTGCCCTGCGGCTTGCAGCTGCTTTGCTCGTGTCCTTTCTGCACATGGCGTGACCCAGGCCAGATTCCCACGCACTCTCCGGGCTGAGCTGTGACGATGCTTGTCCCTTGCGACTCACCTCCCTGGGGCCCCGTGGCATCAGCCAGAGAACTTCCACCCTGTCACCCCTGCACTGATGCTGCTTTTGTCATTCCCCAGGAAGTGCCCTGGGTCTGCCTGGATGGCAGGTCTCCTTCACCAGGTCCCACTGTCACGCCCGGCTCTCCTCTGAGTGGGGCTGTAGTGGGACTGGGGTGAAAGGCAGTGGGGGACCGACAGGCACCCCAGGGGAGGCTTAGCCACAGATCCCTCAGCAGGTCCCTCTGTGGAGTTGTCCTCCCCCCATCCCTCTCTTAGCTGACTACTGAGCGACCCCCACTCCCACCGAGGGTTTGGGCTGGGGGGTGTGGAGACGGGCTGAGGCAGCCGGAGCATTCCAGTGGAAAGGAATGCGGGCCCCATTTGGGACAAAGGACAGGCCGGGAACGCCACAGGGATTTGTTGAAGCTCCTCTGCATTGTTCCCTCTCAGGTCCAGGCTGCAGTCTCCTTCCTGGGAATACTAAATGCCCTACTGTGTCCGGCCTTAGGTTAGCCCTGGGGAAGTAAGCACACTGGCATAGATTCTCAGGAGCCCAACCTTTGCCCCAGGGGACTCTGGGATCACTGGGAGGCTGACAAGTAACTTGAGCAAGGCACAGTAAGGGAGAAACACGCGGTGTTTGGGGAGAGCACAGAAAATCGTGGAGGAGGTGATGTTTGAGTGGATTCTTGTAGGAGAACATGGCAGTCAACGGACAGCTTCAACAGGCAGAGGGAGTCCCTGGCGCAGAGCCTCTGAGGTCTGCAGGACCGGAAGGCTGGGAACTGCAGTTCTCCGGGGTGTCTGCGGGTCTGCAGGGCCCCAGGCATTTGGTAGGATGGCAGATGCCTCAGGGTGAGGAGCCTGCTGACATGTTCAGTCGGTCCTGGACTTTGTCCAGCAGGCATGGAGTGCCCCCGGGGGTTACCATATTTTTTGGACCATAAGACTCACCTAGGTTTTAGAGGAGGAAAATAGGAAAAAAATTTGAAGCAAAAAATGTGGCAAAATACTTAATACCACAAATAACATAATATTTCAGCAATGTAAATGTAAACAGAACTCAACAGCAGCATTAACAACCATTATTCCTCCCAAATTTGGTGGGGGGGGGAAGAATGTGTCTTATAGTCTGAAAAATATGGTGTGTGTAGCCACAGGGTCAGATCCGTGTTTTAGAGCTGAGGCAGGATCGGAAGAGGCTAGGAAAATGCCTGAGCAAGTGGAATGCGGAGACCGAGACAAGATAATTAAATAAGGCCAAATAATTTGAGCAACTTACAGCCGGCGAGTGTATTGCAAGACCTTATCTTCCCCGACCAAGGACACTTGAGAGCAAATGGTTTATACCTCTCTTCCCTAACGAGAGAAGATGTAGCTTAAATCACCCCGGTCAGGGCGAGAGAGAACAGAGACCCAATTAATGTCATAATGCCAGCTGACCCCAAGACAGATGAAGTCAAGGGAACAAGTAACAAAAACCTGATTAGAGTCAGACAGACCCAAGATAAAAAAGGAAAGGAGTAAAGCGGACCAAAGAATAATGCCAAACTCATGTGTGCGTTCATTTTGACGCATCGCATGTTAAAAACGCACCTGGAAAGCTGGTGGATAGTTTGCTGGGACCCTCCCCTAAGATTCTCGCCCGCAGATGAAAGATAACCCTCAAGACCGACTCAAGATAACCCTCAGTGCAGGCTGTCTCTGGGTGCCCTTCTTGGGTGTGGACTTTTTACTTATAAACTCTAAGGGTCACCGTGAGACTGGTAGCCAGGGGAGCAGTGGGCAGCAGTGGCTCCCCCCGGGCTCACCCCCTGAACCCGTCTCCAGGGCCCCCTTTCTCTGACTTTGCCCAGGGAGCTGGCAGCAGCCCCGCCGTGGCTCACTGTTCCCCTATAGCGTTTCCAGGGAGTCAAAGCAGAGCACCGCCTGGGCTCTCCCATTGCCTCTTCTCCCCTAAGCCCTCCCTTTGTGTCATTGCCCAGCTTTAACAAACACACTCCCAAAACCACCTGGACTCGCGGTGTGAAATCTTCCCTGCACGAAGTCAAGGACCCACGCAATACAGGCTGGCTTGAGGGAGACACGCTCCAGGCCATTCCCTGTCTGGGGACAGAAGGGCCCTTTTGGGGGGCTCTGGAGGGGGGCACTGAGTACAGTGGTGAGAAAACAGAATGTTGAGACCACTGAGGGGGCTGCTGGGACTGCCCAGGGAGCCACAGCGAGGCCCGAGCCAGCAGCCTAACAGCAGGGTACAGGCAAGGGCGCCCATTGGAGGGATCTTTTGAAATGGAATCAACTGGAACATCAATTGGATAGAAAAAGAGCAGCTGAGGGAACAGTCAGCTTAGTGCTCTAAGCCTTGGTGGGTGTCCACCAGGGACAGGGGGGCTCTGGGATGGACGAGGACATGGGGGATTTGTGAGCGACACAAGCAGCTCCCGAGGCTGAAGAGCTCTCGGCGCTCCACAGGCTGCTCGGGGTTTGCCAGCTGGCCCTGCGTGCTCCCCCTCCCACCCCGGTTCCCCCGAGGAGGAGACTGAGGCACCGGGCGGCCCATGCTCTTCCCCCGCCTCCACGTGTCTCCCCTGGAGTTTCCCAGCGGTGTTTCAGCCTTCGGTTTGCACAGCCGGCTGCAAGAGCGGGAGAAGCAATGATTGGCTTACAGTGAGCGAGTCAGTTCTGGAAGAGGAACTTTTGACTCTTGCAGACTTTTGGGGGGACATTGAGACATGGGGTACACATTGAATATGTGCAATATCTGTGGGTGTGGGTGTAGTAGTACGGCTACTGGTGCATGCCTGCTCTCCCTCCCGAAAGGTGAGGCTCTCTGAAAGCTGGGGCTGCATTTAGGAGTCTTTGGGTCTCGAGGACACCAAGTGCAACAGAGCAGACACGCGGGGAGTCTTTGCAGGTTGAGAGCAGGGTCCTGGCCTGTGCTGGGGGAAGGGCCGTCCGGGCTGATGCTCCGCTGCTCAGGAGCACCTAGGGCCCCAGGAGGCTTCCAGCCCGGGGCCTGCAGGGCACGGAGGGTGGGTGGGGTGTGCAAGACAGCGCTCTCACCATCAGCTGCTTGATGGTGGGGTGGTCCTCTGCCTCCCGGCCGGAGGCGGGCTCCTTGTGGACGATCTCCACGCGGATATCGTTCTTGGCTGACACGACGCCTTTGAGATCTGGACACAAAATAGGAACGTGTGGGTGACGGACTCAGTCTGTGCGCTCAGGCACTAGGGTCCCAGGTGTCGCGCTCCCACACCCCCATCACCCTCAGGTTTAGCCTCCAGCCCCTGAACTCCGCAGCCGGCCCCCGCACCAACAGAACAGCGGTCTGGACACCCCAAGGGCTGCGAAGCCCTCAGACGTTGCCCTGGGCTCTGGGCGGCAGGCACCTCAGCCTGCCGCTGCCACACCCGGGGCCTAAGAGGTGGTCCTCATCGATTCGTCCACCTTACAGAGCTGGGTCCTCCACGCCACTGCACCTCCACTTCCTTCTGGAAGTCTCCTCTGACCCACCATGCCAGGCTCTGATCTCTCCATTCAGAGAGTCGCAAACCTGATCATTAGAAAGGCCCTCAGTGGGCAACCTCCCACCCAAAGCCGAAACCTTCCCGGCATGGCGGCTGGCGGGGGTCAGGGGGAGCAGACCCTGTATCAGCGCCTCCGTGTCAGAGACTCGGCCATGCCTGGAGGGGGCGGCCACGTGATAGTTGGAGAGTCGTTAGAAAATTCTGGCTAAGATCCGCTCCCCACAGTTTTCACGGAGAGGGTGGTGAGGGAGGCCCCGAGACCACGTGGCTGGGGGAGTTGAGGCCACTTAGCTTAGAGCGGAGCAGGCGTAAGGGGGACCCCCAGCTTTCTTCCACGCTGAGGGCTGCCCTGTGGGGGAGGGGCGGGCTGGCTCTGACGATCCCTTCTGTGCCTCGTGCTCACAGCGCAGGGTGTTAAAGCCGTGTGGGGCAGCAGGAGTCCTGCCCTCCCGTCCCCCGCTCTTACACGGGAGCAGACCGAGGCGGGGGTAGGTGCCGCCCGCCCAAGCTCATGTGTGGCAGGAGGGGGGCCGGAGGGCTGCGCCCCCTTGTTCCCACCCTGCTCTGCCGTCCCTTTCACCCGCCTGTGTGTGTCTGCCACCCCTCACGTCAGCGCTGTGCCCAGGACGGAAACTCGAGGTGAACGTAACCTTCACGAGCTCATAAACACAAAGGTTTTATTGCTAATGACTAAAGACCTTTAGAAGTCTGCACAGAGCGATTCCTTGAATGCTCTTTTTTGTTTCTGATGCGTGGGTAACCTGCTTTTCTGGTTGGACTCACGGGTGCTTGAGGGGAAGGATGGACACCCCCCACCCCGAGATTTCTGCAGAGCTCTATACGGCTACCGGTGTTCAGCCCACAGTGCTGGCGAACTGCCCTGCCGGCTGATGCTGTGTTCAGGCCCGTTTGCCCTCGGCTGAGCGCCCACTGTGCGCCAGATGCTGCCGAGTGCTGCCCAGACAGAGGTGCCTGCAACCCAGCCCGCCGGCAGCTCACCGCAACGGCAGGTCCTGCTCGCTGCACCCTCGACCCCGTGCACTCGCTCTCAGGGCAGTCTAGGCCTGGCCCCCTCTCTGCCCCCTCCCTGAGACCCCTGGGCTCCCTCCCGTACTTCTCTGGGAGCGGGCGCAGCAGAAGGCCACAATGGTTGCCATGAGGACGAGGAAGGCCACACCGGCGCCCACGGCCACCCCGATGATGACGGCCATCGGCACGGACTCTGTGGGAGAGAAGCAGGCACAGCTGACCCCCGGCGTCCGAGGGCCTGCTCTCCCCCAGGGCCTCCCCTGTTCCCGCGGGTGCGGCCTCTGCCAAGCTGGGGCCGGAGCCCTGCACTCAGGCCCCACGGGGAAGCCTGTGGGGGCGCTGGGCAGGCACAGGCAGGCTCCAGCAGGGTCGGCTGGGGTGGGACGGGGGTGGGGAGAGGGTGGGAGGCAGACGCCCAGCGGTGGTGGTGGGAAGGGAGGCAGGCCACACAGGAGGGGGGGAGGTGCGGGTGGGGGTGGGGGGAAACAAGGGCCATGAGAGGCCGGGCTGGGCCCATGCAGCTCTCTCGGGTGTTAAGCCAGGAAGAGTGTATCAGGCAGTGGCTGGAGAGTCCTAAGTCCTGGCTTTTCTTCCCCTGTGGCCACTGCCCTTGTCTGTTTGGTTTGTGTTGACCTTCTCAGGTGCAAGAGGTGAGGCCTGGACAGCCAGCTTCGAGGGTTCTCGGGGCCTACTGGGTACCTGATGCTGTGGGTGCTGGAGGCCCAGGTCTCAGGGGCCAGGGGAGCAGGATCACAGCTCCGTCATCTTTAAGGAGAGATGCCCCCTTTCCGTACCCCACCCCACCCCAGTCCTGCTCCTTCCTCTGCAGGCCAGACCTCTGGGCACCCAGGCAGGCTTTCTCGAGGGGCCTGGAACTTCAGCCAGGGGAAGCCTCACCCCTCGCCGAGTGTCTGTGGCCTGTGGCTGCCCAGCCCAGGAGGAATGGGGACGGGAGGGTGATGTCGGGGCGGGGGAGGGGCTGCCCTCCTGGATGGCCCTGACCTCTCTGTGGCTGCACATGGGACTGAGGGTGTGATTTGGGGCTTGGATAGTCCGTCTGGAACTGAACTTGAGAACACGGTGGCACAGAGACCGGAGGGCCCACTGAGCCCACAGCTCTCACAGCTAGAAACACTGAGGTCCAGAGAAGTCAAGTGACTTGGTCAAGGACACACAGCTTCAGCAGACCCAGGGCAAATCTAGGTCCCCTCACATCCAGCCTCCCGCCACCCACTGCGGTGCTGCCCAGCTCTGCACACCCCAGACTCTGCCTCTTCTGAGCCGCTGATCTCACTTCTCTCATCCGAGGATGGGAAGAAGGCAGGGCCACCCTGGCTGTGGTATGGGGGGGCAGGAGGGTGAGTGTGGGGAACGGCCTCAGAGCTGAGCCCTGCACCCGCCCCGCTCCGTCTCTGCCCCTGCGTCTAGGTGAAGGGAGCAGGGGCTCCGCCTGCATGCCTGCGCCTCACCCCTCAGTGTGGGTGACATCTAGGTGTTGGGCTTGAACTGGAAGGAGAAGGTGCCTGCGGGTGGACAGTGTCGGTGGCTAGGCTGGCAGCTTCCTCCCAGTCCAGGGCCTGCCTGCCAGTGGCCGGGCCACTGAGAGTGGCAGGGGAGGTGGTGGGGACCAGGTGGGTGCGGCAGCCGTCAGGGACCACAGACCGAGGCCCTCGGTTGGTCTCAGCAGCCAGGAGTGAAGGGACCCGACTCCTGCTTTGTGACCCTGCTGTGACAGGGCGATGCTTGTGTCTCCAGTTTCAGCCCCGTCAGGAATGGAAAACTGCTTAGGAAGCTCATCGGCTCTATGCTCTTGAACTTTATTAATTTGGGTTTGATTTTGGTTCTTCTCGGGTTCCTAGTAAGTTTCCTGGGAGAACTCGGCCCTGTCTCAGCGGCGCTCAGATGGCCGTGGGGGTTCCTCAGCCTCTCTGGGCCGCCCTCCCCCGGGGTCTCACCGGAAAACCAGAGGGCCGAGGAATCGAGGAAGCGGTATTCTGCCTCTGGCCTCCTGCGAGTCCACCTGCCCCGAGGATGCTGACAGCTGGGGGGCACCATCTAGTCTGCAGCAGGTGAACGGGGGCTGGAGAGGGTCTGACGGGACCCGGGACCCCTGGGGTGGCATTCCTCTCTGGCCTGCCCGCTTCCCCAGCCCGCCTGCCTGCTGTCCTCCTCTGGAGAGAGCACGCTCAGGGGTCCCCTGGCGAGAGAGGGGCTGGAGGGGAGAGCCGTCCACCAGTTCAGCCTCCTCTCCATCCAAGGAAGTGGACTGGGCATGGGGAGTCCCAGCCAGTCAGGGATCAGGGACCTCTGGGCCAGTGTGACCAGACATGCGTGAGGGGGGAGCAGGTGGGAGACGCCGCCCCCGGCCCCAGGAAGGGCTCTGCGGGGCCTCGGGGGCAGGACAGCGGGAGGCTGGCCATGGTTGCTTCCGAGAACCTGCCTGTACCCCCTGAAGCTCACTGAAGGAGCGGACCGGCCCTAGCTCCTCTTGGACCCGTGCGGCAGGGGGACTAGGGCAGAGGAACCCCCACCCCCATCTTCCGCGTGTCCTCGGTCAGGTTTTGCAACGACCCGATTCTCTCGTCTGGGTTTCTGCTTGGAGGGCGGGGGCCGCTGTTTCTTGTGGGGCCCAAGACAGAGCAGCTCAACCCCGGGAATGTGAGGACCACTCGGCTGCCAGGCGCCGCAGGAAAGGGAGGCACTGCCCGTAGCCTCAGCGGGTGGTGGGATGGCAGTGCCCTGGAAGCAGGGGTGGGGGGGTGCGGGGAGGAGGCAGCCATGAGAAAGCATGGATCGGCATGGATTGATTATGCAGGCCACAGCTGGGGCTGGAGGCCCGGCCCGGGAAGCCATCGCCAAGCTGGTGATGATGTTGAGAAGCTGGAAGAGTCAGGAGGAAACAGAGGGAGGCCAGGCTGCGGGCAGCTGCCCCGGAGGGGAGGAGCCGGGGCCTGGAAGGGAAGGGATGAGAGGAGCAGAGCAGGGAAACAGGAGCCCGGTCCCTGGCTGCAAGGAGCCCGCGGGCTCTGGCGGCAGTGAGGTGGAGACAGGCCGGGCCGAGACCCAGGCGACGCAGGCGGGGAAGCCCTGTGCCTGATGCGCTGACTGCACTGAGCCCGCAGACGGGGGAGGGCAGAGAAGTTAGCGGCCTGCACAGGCCTCCCTTCCCCCTCTGCAGGGCCCTCCCCCGATAGCCCTGCGGTCCCTTCCCCCAGCCCAGGGAGCTCTCAAGTCTCCTTCCGTACCTGCTTCCAGCCCGGCTCCCGACTTCATTTCCGAACCTGTTTGGGAATAAAGCAAGCGTCCACAGCCAGGGCCTGGCTGGCCAGGGCGGGGCGGGACTGGGGTGGGGGGCTCCCTCCTCAGTCCTGTCTCGGAACTGCCCATTAGACCCAGGCTGTGCCAACTGAACTTGGAGAGGTTTGGAGACTCCCGGGGCAAGGGACCGGAGAGAGAGGTCAGGCTGGGGTGGGAGGTGGGGGGAGAGCACTGAGAGGAGAGCATGGGGGGTGGGGGCACCAGGGGGAAGACATGGAGGGGAGCAACGGGGGACTGGAGGTTTGGGATGATGTGTGGATGATTTTATGCAAATTATGGGCAAAGCATTATGCGAAGCAGCACCTATTAGGGAAGAGGTGTTGGGAGACCCTGTGTGGTCCCTGGGGTGGCCTTGAGGCCTGAGGGCCCAGTGGGGAGCACCTGCTTGGCCCAGAGCCTTTGCCAGGGCCTGATGGCTTGTGGGTGGTCTTCGTTTTGGAGGGATCAGAGAGTGCCTGGGCTGAGGCCCCCCAGGAACCCTGGCAAAGGGGTGAGGCCTGCAGCCCCTTTTAGGACCCGGTGTGCTGCCGGGGCCTGAGCTTCTCTGGACCCCACTCTGTGCATCCCCCAGGCTCCCCGCTCTCTGGTCTGTGTGAGACCTTTGAGTAGGGACTGGAGGTCATGACCATGAGCTGGGCAGCCTGCACCCGGGGTCACAGTGGGATGAGCCTTCCCCTAGCTCCTCCTTCTCCCTTGCCTTCCTTCTCCACTCAGCCCTCTGCCTAGAGCAGACACCTGGACCATGTGTCTCCCCCATCCTGGGGGCACTGCAGAGGGTTTTAGCCTGCCCTTCACCCCACCCCCAGTGGTTGGGGCAGCTCAGGAGCTTCCCTTTAGCTCAGCTTGGGTGCCTCTGGGGGGCTTCTGGGTGTCTGGGCTGGCTGGTTGTGGTAACTGGATCAGCCATGTTTCCCAGCAGGTCCGTCCGAGGGGGTCCCTGCGTCCCGCCCAGGGCCCTGGCTGCCTCTCTGCAGGTCACCCACCCCCGAGGGCACTGTGGCCAGACCAGGGCCCCCCAGGGAAACGCCGAGCGCAGGCAAGCCAGGGCCTTCAGGTGTGGGCGTTTCATCGTGGCAATGCACTTGGCTCACTCTTGTGGCCCCTCCTCTGAAACATCACCTTGAAGGGCCAGTTCCCCAGCAGCTTTTCCTTCCTGGTGCCCCATAGCACCCCTGGCCTCAGGGGTGCTGGGACGAGGAGGGCCACTTCCTGGACCTGCCCAAGGCTGTGCGGCCAGTGGCAGGAGCACTGTGACCTGTCCTTGGGCCCCACCCTACCCAGAGCCTTCACTAGGCGTGCCGCCCCCTCAGGACACTGGACGACCTTGCCTGGGCCCCACCTTGCTCCTTGAGCCGGATGATCTCGGTGTCGGAGCCGAAGCTGTTCCAGGCGGTGCAGTTGTAGATGGTCTGGAAGTCGGCCCGCACGATGTTGCTGATGGTCAGGGTGGAGATGACACCCTCCTCCGTGCTGACCGTCTCCACTGTGTAGCGCCCCGACGTCCCCGACTCCAGCACGTTCTCCTTCCACGACCAGGCCTGCCCGGGGGGCCAGAATTAGGAGGAGACCCCACCTCGGCCACCCACACGGGGACCACCGTGCCACCTCGCGCCCCAGGGCCGACGCTGCCAGGCTCATTGGCACGCTTGCCGCCACCAGCACAGGCGCACTCAACACAGGGACATGCACATCCCAGCACTCACCCTAACTGTGCCCACACTATGCCTGCCAGGCCACAAACACGGGTACACACACATTCATGCATATACATGCATCCCAACACACCACAAATGTGCACACACCACACACAAACACACTCCACCACCCATGCACACAGAGCACCACTCCACATGGTGCCAGTGTGTGTGTGCACCTGTACACATGCACACCACACCATTCGTATGCACGTACCACACCATGTGTGTACACACACCACACCATGTGTGCACACACACCACGTGCACACACCACGTGTACATGCACACACCACACCACGTGCACACACATACCACACCGCGTGCACATACACCAAACCACATGCACATATACCATACCATGTGTGTACACACACCACACCACATGTGCACGCACACACCACTACATGTATGCACACAGAGGCGGTGCCACCTCTGGAGGGCATTTCCCGGGTGAGATGGGGCCCTCACATGGGTCTGCAGGGGAGCATCTTTCCAGGCAAGCATGAGACCCCGTGACAGGGACCGGGCCCCCACCCCCTGCACTGGCTGGCCTGTGCCAATGTCTCCCCGGGACACTCCAGCCAGCTGGGCGCTGGAAGAGGAGGACCTGCCCAGAGAGGCTGCATCCAGTCTTGTTACTGTTCTGTCTTGTCCACACAAAGGTACATTCTGAGAGTTGTTTGTGGCCACCTTTACTCTATCGTAGATTCTAAGGACGCTGGCTGGCTTTTCCCCAGAGCTGGTTCGCAGGTGCCGGAGGCCCCTCGCACACTAGGCAGGCAGGATGGGGCCAGGGGCGTCCTGACTGAGCCCTCCTGATGCTCCGCTGGCGGGCCACGCCGGGCATTGCAGAAGGCACGGCAGCACCCTGGCCTCTAGTCACTAGGGCCAGCAGCATCCCCAGATGTGACAACAGAGACATCTCCAGAGATGCCAAATGTCCCCCAGGGCCAGAGTCACCCTGTGAGACCCTCTGGCCTGAAGCGAGGGATCTGGGATGAGGGAGATCCTGTGACTGTGCTCAGGAGTGAGAGACACTCACGTCATTGGAAAAATTAAAGAGGGACGGGCACCGGGGTGGTGTAGGTGTTAGTTCTGTGTGTGTGAATGCTTGCAGTTTCTGTGTGACTCCTTCAGGTAGTGCATCAGCTGAATGCCTGGGGAAGCATGCACCAGCAATAATGCTCTAGGGATACCTCGTGGACAGGGTGGCATCCTGATTTTGGGCGGCCTCGGCCTCCCAGCCCCGGGCACCCCCACGCCCTCCCTGGCACACCTGGACCCTGAAAGGCAGAACTGCCCCTCGGAGTTGGCCCGGGACATCTTCTAGCAGGACTGTCCCAAGCATTGGGGCCAACTAATAATAATATCAGCCCCTCCCCCCAGTGCTGCCCGACGTCCACCTCTCCTGGTTTTCATGCCAGGCTTCCACCAGCCTCAGGTGGCTGGGGCGGAAGGCTCCCTCCACAGATGTGATACCTTGGAAGGTGCAGTGTGAGCAATCAGGTGGCCTTGGCTGCACTACCTGGAGATCAGCATTCTGAGCAGGGGATGGGGACGGAAGGGCACTTTGGAGGGAAAAACGTGATTACGCTCGATGAGTGCGGCAGCCTGCATTCTCCGTGGCCGGAGGCCTGGGGGTGCTCTGGGAGGCACGGAAAGGGGCTTGCCCACCATCAACTGCACTCTGAGTAGGATTTTGCAAAGCTTTGTCTGGCCTTGCACCCAGGGAAATGGAGAAATAGTGTACCTTTCTCTTTCTTCCGTTCCCTTCACTTGCTCCTCTGCTCTCAGGATGCAGAATTCTGTTACACTCTCAATGCTAGTGCCCAGCTCAACGGCAGAGACGCATTAAAAACACTAGCAGACGGCCCCGGCCGGGTGGCTCAGTTGGTTGGAGCACCATGTCATGCACCAAAAGATTGCGGGTTTGATTCCCAGCCACGACACATGCCTAGGTTAAGGGTTCGATCCTCACTCAGGGCATATCTGAGAGGCAACCAATCTATGTTTCTCTCTCACATCGATATTTTTTTCTCTCTCCCCTCCTTCCTCTCTCAAATCAGTAAACATATCCTTGGGTGAAGATAAAAAAATACACTTGCAGACAAACCCTGGCATACAGCCTGCTCTGAAAAAGGAGACTGCTTGTGATTTTCGTCTTCATGATGGCTTTCTGAGAGAGCAAGCGGGAATCATTCCCGGCCAAGGAAGGGAAGCCTGAGGCGAGTGCTGCCTTCCCGCGGCCCCACAGCGGCGGGCGGAGACGCCCGGAGCAGCGCCCCAGGGCCTCCCCCCCGCACTCACTATTCGGTCGGGCGGCGGCGTGCTCCGGATGAAGCACTTGATCTGGCCCTTCTCGCCGTGGAGGGCGTGCTGGGTCTGGGTGCTGGAGATGATGGGGGGTCCTGTTGGGGAAACAGCATCACGTCAGGATTCAGAAGGGCAGGTGCCCCGCTGGGCCCCTCGTGGGGGTGGGGGTGGGGCTCAGGAGCCTGGTCATTGTTTCAGTCACCCAGCAGACACTTCCTGGAGGCTCGTGGGACACGCTGAAGTGCAAGGTGTCACTCGTGAACCTCTTAAGGGATTGTGAGTGGGTGCTTCTAAGTCAGAATGCCCAGAAGACATTGTAGGGGTTCTGAGTGAGTCACCCCAACGTGTGCTCCTGTGGTGTGTGGGTTACTTTGAGCTAAAGGCAACAGAGACTTGCAAGCTCCAGAGAAACTTCTACCTCCCCTTAACTACCGATGAGAATTTAAATTAAGGGCCTTGCCTATAATGAGACATTATCAGAGATAACATTTCGAGCTGTCTGGGTAGCAGGGCAAGCTGCTAATTGCTGAGCACCTGCCTTTCTTGCTGTTTTGTGCTAACCTCCCCCTACAGCTCCGTGGTCCTTGCCTTATCTTTGGCTCAGAATTCCACACCCACCTCGTTTTCCCTTTCTCTCCCTCTCTCAGGTGTGTGGAGGTCTCATTTGTGCATATGCACTTAAGTGGGGCCATTTTCTCTTGTGAATCTGTCACAGATTCATATGATTATTCAACCACCCAAAAGGAGGGGTGAGGGGGAGGGGTGGGGTCTTTCCCTTTCCCCACCACAGGAAAGGTGGCGAGACCGACTTCGGAGGAGGGAGAACAGTTCCACCTGGCCGATGAAGGGACGCTGTATGAAGGAGGGGGTCCACCCGAGAAGAGAGCAGAGGAGCCGAGGGGGAGGAAGGGATAGAGCAGCGCTAACTGATGGGGCACCGCCGCCTTGGCAGGCTGTTCGGTTTCCAGCCATTTTCCCTGATCACCAGTAGAGGGCGCGCTTGCCTAACAAACCCGGTGTCCCGGGCAGGGCTGAGCGTCTAGGGGCGCAAAGACTCGAGCAAGGCTCTTCTCTTCCAGCAGGAGAATCAGCCTGAACAGGTGCGATGCGCTGGGCACGCTCAGAGCCTTCGTCTCACACACGTCTTAGAAGACCCCAGTGGGCCCTAGTAGGCCAGGCCTCCAAAGCTGACCCCAGCATCTTCTCGTCCAGTCTGCGTTTGTGCGTGTTTGCACCTGCTTGTGCACATGTGTGCGTGTGTGTGTGACGTCACAGGGTCCTGGAGTACCTGTCTCAACATTGCATCAGACAGCCGAGCCAGTCTCCCTGAAGTCCAGCAGTGCTTCCCGTCTCCTCTGCCTTTTATCTGCCCTACGTCTTTCCTGCCTGATGCCCACCTGGCAGTGAAAGAGCAGTGGAGGAGTGGCTAGTTCAGTCTTTTGTGCCGCCAGCCTCCTGGCTGGGTGGGCATTGGAAGCAAGGGGTGAAGGCATGGAGGACCCTGCGCCTGCCTGCCAGCCCTTGGGGCAAAGACCATGGCTTAGGTGGCAGGAAACAGGAGCAAGACAGGCAGAGGAAGGGATCCGAGGACAGGTACAATTAGGCCGGGAACAAAACAAAAATCGCTGCAAACATAATTGCTGTTTATTAGCCACCTTAATTAAACCAGATTTGCATTTCTATGAGTAGCTCTCAGGCAAGGGGAAAAAAAACGCTACCGGGAGACACTCAAGTGGCTTTTTGAATTCAGGAGGCAAATGGCTTGGAGCTGGGCGAGGCAGACATGGGGGACCCTGCAGATGGGGGCATCCACACTAGAGGCAGACATGGGGGACCCTGCAGATGGGGGCATCCACACTCGGTTGGCTGAGTGAGTGGGCTGAGCCCTCCAACTCGGTGAAGCATCTGGGCAAAAGGCAGGAGGGCTGGGTGCTTCAGGAGTTTGATGGGGCTTTGTTCTGCCGCTGGACCGGAAGTGATGAGGCCGGAATACCTTTCCCCCTTCACTTCCCAGAAGCCAGGAAGCCCCTGGAGGATTCTCTGGCAAATGAGTCTGTGTTAAAGAGCACCTTAAAAGAAACCAGCAATCAGGATAAGGGTGGATGGGGCTGAGGGGGTCACAGGCAGCAGTAACACAGCTCGCCTCCCCTTCCTGCAGGCCTGGGGCTGAGCCAAAGCAGCTGACTTCTGTGCTCGCAGACCCCTGGAGGGCAATGGCCAGCAGACCCTGCCGGGCGGGGATTTGTTTTGAAGACCGGCCCATCATCCTGGATCCATTCAGGATTGCCAGACCCCTCAGCCTAGCTCTGCCCCATTGCAAAGGGCTGCACCATTCCTCCACCTGTCCTCCAGGTGCCCAGGTGGGCTGGCCAGCTACTCCAGTCGGGCCATTTATTCCACTCCCTGCCTCAGGGCAAGATGACTCTAGTTCAGCAGAAACCAACAGCTTTCTCGCTTTGCTCCCATCCCGTGGGCAATTTCTTCCTGGCGACCTTGGCAGCCTGTGTGGAAGCAGTGGAGGCAGAAAAGGGGGATGGAAGACGGGGGGATGGGAAGCCAGACGCTGGAGGGAGCAGATTAAACCCGGGACAGATGCCAGGGCCCAGGCTGGGGTGTTCCCATCTAAGAGCAATGTCCCTCCAAGCCGTGTACCACCCTGGCCGGGGGGCTCAGTTGGTTGGAGCATCTCCCTGTGCACCATCAAGCTGCAGGTTCCATCACATGCCTCAGTTTCGGATTTGATCCCCATTTGGGGCATGTTTAGGAGAGAGCTGATTTCTCCCTCTCTCTCCCTCTCTCTAAAATCAATACAATCATATCGTTTGGTGAGGATTAAAAAAAAAAAGATATGACTTCCCTCCTCAAGAAACCACTTTAAATTTCTGCTGGGAAACTCCTGAATGTCTAAAGTGACAATGGAATGTCAGTCCCTCCTTTATTCACCCTGGTTACCCTAGAAACAAGGATGCTCCTTTAAAAGCTTCTGGCTTGGAGACCCTGGAGGCCATGTGTGAGTCTGAGGGTCCCCAGGCTGGCGGGGCCTGGGGCCGGGTACCAGAGCCGACTGTGCTCCGGGGCCAGCACTGCCCGGTACCATCCCGGAACTGGCTGCGTTGGGGGGGGTGGGGCGAGACTCTACCAGGGCCTGGCGCCGCCGCCGCAGAGCTGAGAGTCAGACACCAGCTCGGCAGGAAAAGGCTGCAGCCCGTGTTGCCATGGATATGCGGAGGCGCGATCAGATGCTGTTATTTTTAGCCCTGCCGTGCCAATTTATCGGTGGCATCCTAGGGACACACGGGAAAGGCAGACAGGCTCCTGAGTCAGGATTCTGCCCAGGACAGGTGGCCCGTGAGCCCTCAGGGGTCTTGGGTAGGTAACCCTCCCTCTCTGAGGCTGCCACGACCGTGGGGAGAGGACAGCGAAGGAAACTGATGGAGCGGGCAGTAATGGGGACAGCAGAGGGCGTGGCTAAGGGGGAACCACGCTGGTTCGTTTTCCAGCAAAGGGGAGCACAGGAGGGGCTTTCAGAGGGCAGCCTCGGGAGTGGAGAGGAGCCGCCTGGGCGTGTCTCTAGAACTTGGCTCCACCCCTCCCTGGGGCCCTACCAGAGGGAGGTGGGACCAGGGTTGCAAAGGGCCATGGGCACCGCAGATCCCAATTGGGGCACAGGAAACCCAGTGGGAGGAGGAAGCTTGGAAGTGGCAGAGGGACTTGGCCTTGGTGTTTCTCACCCTCTCAAACCAGCACCTTATCACAACGGGGACACTGAGTTTCTGTTCTGGTGCCACAGCCACCTTGGGTCTGACCTGCACTGGGTCCCAGCTTCTCCAGGACCTTCGAGGTCCCATCAGCCTGGCCTGGCCCCAGCCCCGCCCCTTAAAGGCTTTGTGTAACGGCCATCCGGGAGCTCACACCGAGTTCTTGGAGGGAGACGAGAATGTGCTGCTGCGGTGACGATTCTTATTGTGTACAACAGGACACCTCCCCTCCGCTCCAGGGGACCCCTGAACGCCTGGCCTTGTGGGCATGGTGACAGGTGTTCCCAGCTGGGTGGCCCTCGTGCAATGGGAAGAGGCTGATCTGGAGTCCAGAGATGCTCCCTTCAATTCCCACTAGGGCCAAGGTCAAGGCTGAAGGGTGGGTATGGCCTTGGCTGCCCAGTGACCCTCTGACCCTTTTTTCCTGGCCAGGATAAAATTCAGCAGCTACCACTTTGAGGCCTGAGACCCCTTAAGAGATGGAGAAGAAGAGAGGTGGCCAGGAGACTACCCAGGTCCTTCCTCATGTCAGCGCTGGGCTCCGACACAGACTTGACCAGGTGGACCCGCAGTGGGAGGTGATGGCAAGACCCAGAAGAGACAACGGCCCCTTGGGTCACCACTGCCTGGGGCCAAGATGCCTTGGGTTGCTCTCCCTCCCTCCCACCCACCCCCTGCCCCAGCAGGAGTGGCGGGGGCTTACCATTGACAGTCAGGGTCACCTCTCGCTCCCCGGCCCCCACCCGAGGCACCACCGCTCGGCACACGTACTTCCCAGCATCCTCCTGGCGGACGGCTTTGAGGGTCAGGGTCTTTTCATTGCTCAGGACCTGGGCATTTCGGGGAGAATCAGACAGAAAGAGTGGGGACGGGCTCTCCTGGTCTTTCAGAGCCCAAGAGCCCGAGAGGCAGGCCTGGCGGGAGGGGCAGGTTTCCCGGTTCTCTGCAGGACGAGGGCCAGAGCAGACGGCCGACGTTCATTATGGAGCAGCCACGGGCCGGAGCAGCCACGGGTGGGAGCGCCCACGCGCAGAGGAAGGGCCCCGAGTGGCCGAAATGTTACGCTCCGCCACGGCCCTGGGGGTGGGTGCCCAGCGGGAGGAGAGGACTCGCTGGCTGCTCCCCGAGGCGTTCTCATATGGGGAGGGGCTGTCCACCAGCCAGGCCCCGGCTGGCCCAGTGAAATGACCTTACTGCTGACCTCCTTTGAGGGTCCCCGGACCTGCCTTTCAGAGTCATTTACAGCATCCCTTTGGGACGTGGTCCGGGGTGAAAAGAAGACAGACTGCGGCTTCAGGGAGCTACGAGTTGGAATCCCGCAGGGCCCCCGCAGCGGCTCACCTGGGCGGCGGTGGGCAGTCGCCTGTGGGCCCCGGGGCTGCCGCCCTCCCCCCACGGCCTGGCAGCGGGCTCACGGGGCACTACAGCGTCGGGCACGGAGCTGGCCACACCGAGGCCACTTTCTGTTTGCCCCCCCTCCCGCCCGCCTCCCACCCTCTCGTGGGTGGCCCCGAGACAAACTGATGCGCATGAGGGAGCACGCGTGTTTTGGAGGAGGAACACGGAAGCGGAGCAAGGCTGACCCCGAAGGCTGGAGGCGAACTCCGTGTGGGCGCGCTGAAGAGCCTGCCCAGCGCGTTCGTCCCCAGCGCATCAGCGACCACCGAGTTCCCATCGGCTTCTCGGCCGGAGAGCCCGCAGTGGCTGCACGTGTTAAGGGCTGAGGAGCGGGCACGTGTGGGCACCCCTCTCCTCTCTCTGGACCCCTCCTTCCTTCTGCTCTCTGGGGGCCGACCCCCGACATAACAGTGACGGGGCCCTGGGAGGCAGGCCCCTCCCGGCTTGTGGTCCCCCACCCCCCAGAGGCGCCCTGGGCCTGAGCGGGGACTCACCACGCCGGAGCCCCGCTTCATCCAGACGATGGTCAGGGACGGGTTTCCGGTCCAGGAGCAGCTGAAGACGGCGTCCGAGCCCAGGTCCACGAGCAGGGACTGGGGCTCCGCCGTCATCCGGGGCCCGACTGCAGGGTGGAGGGGGGGACGAGACGGCACTCTGGTTGACTGGGAGCTCTGGGGGTGCTTTCTGTGGCTGCTGCCCCCCCCACCCCTGGTCCCCCCAGTTCCTGGGGCCTGTGCCACCTCAGTCCACTCCAGCCCCCTCCCTTACATTTCGGCCACTGCCCCTCCGGGCCTCCCCCCGAGCTCGCCTCCCTCTGGCCTCCCCAGGAAGAGATAGTGCCGCCCTAGGTAGGAAAAGGCTCTCTGGCCCCTGTGCCTGGACAGGCCCGAGGGGCTCTCCCATTGCCTCCCCTCTGTCTGGGCCCTGGAAGTCCCCCTCTGGGGTGCAGGCAGAGGGGCCTTCCTCCCTGGGCCTGGGAGGTCCACGTGTCAGCCTTCAAGTCAGCCGGCCTCTGCCTGAGCTTTCAGGCCCCTCCCAGTGTCCCTGAGATTCCAAATGGAGCCGGCTGGGTGGCTCCTGGGTGGCTCCTGGGTGGCTCCCAGTGTCCCTGCCTCTGCTCTCAGGGATCCTCTCTTCCAGCCCCTCCCACGCCCCTGCTGAGTGCTGGTGAGGTTCATGCAGGCTCCTCTCTGCGTTTCCTCCCCAACCCCCTGCCCCAGTCTCCTGGAGACCAAGAGGGGCCCGAGTGAGTGTGATGGTGAACTTCAGGTGCTGTGTGATAGAGGGCGTGCAGAGAGAGGTTTCAGGGAGTGGAAGAGTGAAATCTGGGGCCAGGAGCCTGGCCGCACCCCTCGCTGTAGACCAGGAGCTTGGGGCTCTCCGTGGAGGCTGTCGGGGCAGAGGGGAGGGGCTGGGGTCCAGAGACTTTGTGAAAGTGCTTTTAAAATGGCAAAGGGCAGTGGAGGCACTAAGGTTTACTGCTGTGAGTGTGTCCAGCTGCCTGTCACCGGGAGGGGTCTGCCAGGCCAGCGGGAGGAGGGGCGGCCGTGAGCCTGGAGCTGGGGGGCAGGCTGGGTGGACTGGCAGCTGATCTGCTAGTAGCCTGGCCTCATTGTGTGGCCGCAGGCCTTCGTCCCCTCCTCTGGGCAGTGGGAACAATGACCGCCCTTGTGGGTGGTTACGAGGGCCACCCCAGGAGGAGGGTTTTTGTCAAGGGCACGGCTTCGTGAGCCCGGGAGGCACTGTGACGTTGTGTGCGGTGGGCCCAGCACCGGCGGCTCCCCTGGCCCTGAGCAGAGACCCCCTGGGCCGCGGCCCCGGAGCCCCCAGACAGCGGCACTCACAGTAGACGTCCACAGTGCGGCTGATGTTGGTGCTGCCCAGGGCGTTGGTCACCTCACAGGAGACGGGCTCGGAGAAGTACGTGTAGTCCACAGCGGTCCGGTACACTTCTCCCGACGCCTCCTTGATGATCTGGCCCCGCTTGGCCCACCTGCAACACAGGCCCCGCAGGCTGCTGTGGCCTCTGGCGGCAAGGATGTCTCCCTGGCCAGCCTGGCCCGGGGAGCTTTCCTCTGGGAGCCAGGAGCCCACGGAGAAAGGAGGCGTGGCCTGGGACAGCCTGGGGCCGCCCCTGTGGGGTCCCTCAGTGGAAGTCTCCGTAGAGGGGTTACTCCCGGGGCTGGGGAGCAGTTGGGGGGCAGGCTTCCGTCTGAGGTCCCCAGGAGGTCAGTGGCGCTGGATGGGTGGGTCACTCTGGAGGGAGGTGGTTTGACTGTGCCGTGGGTCAGCCCCTCTGGCCGGCCAGGCAATGGATAGCCTGATGGTCAGCACCCAGGCAGCTCGTCCACCTGCTCTGAGCTCTGTTGGGGACCCCGTCCAGGGCCACGTTGGAGAGGGAGACGAAGTCCGTGACCTCAGAGGCCAAGGTCTAGTGGCCCGAGCCTGTGCACGCTCGCCTGCCCCGGGAAGCTGGGTTCCAGACGAGGTGAGAGGCTGGTGGGTGGTGTTCGCCAGGGGCTCCGACGGCCCCTCACACTCAGCCCGTTCTCCCAGCTCTCCTGCCCTGACCGCCCCTGACCACTGTCCCCAGAGTCGGGCCCCCTCTCTCCCTTTCAGCCCCTCCCCCACCCCCAGGGATGGCACTTGCTCTTTTTTCTGTCTAGTTTCTCCCTCCTGCCCCGCCTTCGCCCCTTGGAGGCCTGGGCTCCTCCGTCTGTCCTGGTCTGGTCAGGGCGGCAGGAAGAAGGCTGTGCCAACTTCTTTCTTTCTTTTTTAAAGATTTTATTTATTTATTTTTAGAGAGAGGCGGAGGGAAGGAGAGAACCATCAATGTGTGGTTGCCTCTCACACGCCCCATCTGGGGGCCTGGCCTGCAACCCAGGCATGTGCCCTGACTGGGAATCGAACCACTGACCCTTAGGTTCACAGGCTGGCACTCAATCCACTGAGCCGCACTAGCCGGGGCTGTGCCGACATCTTTCGTCAGATGATCTCCCCCCACCCCCAACCCCGAGCCATCAGCACTGACAGAGGGGAGAGGCCGAGGAGCCTTGGGCCTGTCGTGGTCCCGGCCCTGGGACGTGCATCCCTGGACCGGTCCTGCGACCTGTGGGGCACTGCTAGTGGTCTCTGGGGTGTGTCTGGGTGTGTGCGGGCCCAGGGGATTCAAAGCTGCCCCAGGTTTAATTCCACTGTGGACAACACTCGCTTTTTAAAATGACAAAACTGCCTGGCTCTCCCTGCAGCCCCAGGAGCGGCCATCTCCCGGCACCACACGGAGCTCCCAGGCTGGCACCATGCAGTTATTATTATGAATTAACACCGGGTAATTATTAAGAACACGATTAATAATAACAGCTACAGTTTAACAACAGAGCAAACCATGCTCCCTGAGTGCTTAAGGAGCTTCACAACAAACCATTATGAGTTACTCATGAATCACTTCAATTTCTAACTTTAATTTAATGACCGGACTTAATGGGCGCAGCCCCTGCCCGAGGCAGATGAACTCAGTCCTAGACACGTGGCTGGGGACGGGGGTCCAGCCCCTACTCCTTCCACCCTGCCGCGGGGGTCGCTGCAGCACCCCCCGGGGTGGTGGGATGCCCAGGAGCCGGTGGGGCTGGGAGGAGGGAGGGGCCGCTGGGCTCGGCGTTGTTCAGAACTGCAGGGCGGCGACCGTTGGGACAGCTGGGGACTAAGTCCTCTGTCCCCGGCAGAGCCGTGCAGTTGGAGCCCAGCCCTCTGCGCAGCTGTGGCCCTGAGCACCCCAAGTCTGTCCCTGCCCTGGAGCAGAGGGGGCGGCAGGAGGCGATTTTGGACTCGTCCCTCCCAGGGTCATGGCAGGAGCTGGCTGGGGGGATGGAACCTTTTGGGGACACCTGGAGAGTCTGCTGCTCACATCTCACTCCACCAGTCTTCTTTCCCCCATTGGATTCCCCCTCTCACCAAAAAAGTGCTCTCGTGGGGATCCTTCCAGAGCCTGAAACCACTCATTCAGGCACAGGATCCAGGGTAAACCAGGGGGCAAGGACTGCCCCCCACCCCGTTTCCCTTAGCTCTTCTCTCTTCTCCTCTTGGTTCCTTGCTCAGCTTCCTCCTGCCACTCTCTTCTCTCATCCCTTCACCCTCCCACTCCCCTACCCACTGCTCCCCGTCTCTCCCAGCACCTCGGAACAGGAGTGGTGGTGGGGGGGCTGGATAAACCTTTTCCAATCAACGTGACCCAAGCCAAGGTAAGAGGGTGAGCTATTTGCATCACAGAACCAGGGGCCTGGTGTGTCACCACCCGCCGGCTGTCCTCATGTAGCCCCCAGTTGCATGTTGGGTGTCGGTCCCCTCCCTGAGCCTGCAGGGCCCTGAGCGAGCCTCAGAGGGGAAGCCGGCGGGAGGCGAACTCAGTGCTGCTGTGCCCCAGCCTGTTCTCACCCAGGCTCCTGGTCCCGAGGGGCGACCACAGTGACAGCGAGCCTGGCTGCACGTACTCCCATGCCCACCCTGTGCCCCCGTTCTGGGCGAGGAGGGCATCACTAATTTCTGAGATCACAGCCTTTCATGTAAAACAGGGAGGAAGCAATCAGGAGGAATGGAGAAAAGACACAAAGATCTCTGTAATCTTGTCAAAGTCAATTGGGAAAATCAATGTGCTTATGTGACGAGACTTGCTTAAGGCGTTCCTCTTGGATCCCAAGGAGGCGTCCAGAACGACCTGCTGGGCGAGACCTCCCCGAAGCCAGTGGACCGGAGGGTGTGGGTGGGCTCAGGCGCCCCCCACCGCCTCTCTTCACAGCCCCCGCTCCCCCTTCTTCCCCAAGCCATCCAGTGGGGCTCCCTGCAGGCCTGGAGGGAGCCGGATCCACTCTGAGGCGTTCTCAGGACCTTTGGCTGATCAGAAGGCCACGAGGCAGGTGACAAGGACAAGTGCCCACCCGTGGGGAGCCCACCTGGCCCCCTGACGGCCCCTCTGTGGGTGGGTGGACCTGTGACCGGGATCGGCAGGGTGGGATGGAGGGGGTGGCAGGACCCCCAGGAGATCCGGAGCCCAGGGAAGCCCGCGGGGTCTCTGCTTGTTTGTCTGCTTGTTTATTTGTTAACTCTTGAGTTTAAAAAGACTTTGAAATTATAGAAAAGTTGCAAGAACAGTGCAATGAGCTGCCCTTTCCCCCTCACTGGACTCCCCGACTGCCACTCTTGTGCCCCACCCACCTGCTCACAGCCTCTCTCTGCAGGCGCACACACACCCTACTGCCGCCGTCAGCGCTGCTGTTCCGTTCTTTGGAGAGGGGTGACCCGGGGCTCAGGCCCAGGAGCCTGGTTTCTGGGGTGCCTGCTCGCCCCTGCGGGCTGGTGGAGCAGGGGCCGAGCGGAGGACAAGGCTGGGCCCTGAGCGCAGCCCCGCCCCCACCCAGCCTCCGTAACTAAGTCCTCAGCGGACCCAGTGCCGCCTCGAGGTGGGGAGAAATGGGAGGTGGCAGCTCTCTGCTCTGGTCTAGGCATTCCAGGACGCTGTGGGGGTCCCTGTGGGCTGTGCCTGCCCCCCCCTCCCCCACCGTGGGCTGTGTGCACGAGGGGTTGCCTGTGAAACTGGCATTAGGGGTCCCTTCTGGGCACGTGGTGCCTGGCATTTAGGGGTCGTGAGCAGAGAGCAGACCGCCCAGAACTGCCCACCTTATTGAGAGGAGCTGGGCCTGGCGGGCGCGGCGCCGGAGCCCAGAAAAAACGGTTTCTCTGAGTGCTTCCTCCTGCGTCTTTGTCACTTCCAGACCGACGCTGGGTCCCAGCCAACCCAGACCTGCCCTGGGGCCTCCTGGGCTGCACGACTCCAGGGATCCCCCAACCCAGTGAACAGCTAAATCGGACAGGACAGATGGATTTTCATCCTGCTTAAAAAGACTCGGTCTTTCCCAGTTTCCCGTCCCCATGTTGTTTCATTACTTGCACTGCAGGGGGCGCTGGCTTACGTCCAGCCTGAGCCTCTGGTTGCCTCTTTGGCCCATTACCTCTGCTTCTGCCTCCCGGGCTGCACTGCCTCTCTGCCTTCCCCGTCCCCCACCCACACGGCCAGCATATTTCCACTTTGAGACCATTAGCATCTCTGGTGCTGGCTGCTGCTGCTGCTTAATAGCCCATTTTGGTGGCACAGGCCACACTCTGGGCTCCTCCATCAGGTCTGGGGTGGTAGAAAGGGATGGGGTGGGGGTAGGGCCGTGGTGAGGCTGGCTGGGAGGTGAGGCCCCAGTCTGCTCACGAGAGCCCCCGAGGTCCCTCGTCCCCAGGTGTCATGTGGCGATGGTGCCCAGGCTGGAAGGAGCCCAGGGGAGCAGCTCTGCGTGTCTCCCCAGGCAGCTGGCTCACGTTCTGGAGAACCAGTGTCTGGCGCACACGCTCTGCCCCGTGCTGAGAGCATGCGTGACTCAGACTGCAGTGCCTGCCTCGGAGAAGCTCCGTCAGCGGAACGGCAGTGAGGCTGCGTCAGGGCTGCGACGGGTCCCAGGTGCCCACTGCAGAGACCCAGCTGTCCCAGAAACCCCACTCTGTCCAGGGGGACAGTTTGGGGACACAAGACTGGAATCCAGATGCTGCTCTGACTGGTTCCCTGGTTGTTTTAACTTTTTTTCCCCAGTTCTTTCTCCCTCGTTTCAGAAAAAAGGGACCCACAAGCTATTCAGACAGAGGAGTGACCCCTACTCTCTCCGGTGGGGTGGGATGGGAGCGTACGTGTGCGTAAAGGAGAGGAATCCCACCTGGCCAGCGTGCGGGGGGAGGCAGGAGGGAAGGGGTCCTCTCCTGGCCTGGGGTGGATGGGGTGGCGGGGTGTGGAGAAGGACATGGGGCCCCCACAGCAAACCAAGTGCTGCGCATGGGTGCCCGGGACACAGTGACAGCCCGTGGGCTAGTCAGGGATTGGGGGGGTCTGTGCCTCCGCAGCAGCGGCTCTGACCTGTACTGGGTGACCGCCGGGTTGGCCTTGGCAGAGCAGTGGAAGGTGACGACGTTGTCTTCCAGCACGGGCTGTGGCTCCACGGACAGGTTGACGAGTGGGGGGTCTGCGGACAGAAGAGATTCCCTTGTGGACGGGGGAGCTGTGCCCACGGCTTGGGGAGGAGCGAGGCAGGAAGACCCCAGGAGACCCCCTGGGTGACATGGAGGGTAAAGGCCAGAGGGCCCCCCACCCATGGGGATCCTCAGAGCAGCACCACTGCCGTGGTCCCCAGGAAGCTGGGGGCTTCAGCAGAGGCTCCCCCACTCCCTGGAGGTGCTGCCTCAGGTTGCCCTGGTGGCGGGGTCAGGGCTCCGTCTGTGGATTCAAAGCCTGGTGTTTAAGTGGACAGCCAGCCGAAGCATGGCTGCCTGGCTTCCGGACCACGCTGCCCACCTTCCAGCTTTTAGAGAGAACAGAACGCTTCAGAAAGGAGGGGGAGGAGGGCGTGCAAGGGGCACGAGGGGGAGTGGGGACACTGACGCCCATTTACATACAAACTGTCCTCTTTGGAAACGTCTGATTGGTATCTCTTTGTGCAAAGGTTCTGGTGCCTCCCTTCACTTCAAAGTGGCATTTACACCCTTTCATCAGCCTAATCATCTCGTCTGCATTCTGACTGGTGGTGTCGCCCAGCCCTCGCTCCCCAGGCCGGCTCGGCTCCATCCTTCAATGAGGAGAAGCTCTAAAGTGCTAAACGGTGGGAGGTGGAGGAGACAGGGAGCTGAGAGCAGGCGAGAGGCAGGGAGACCGGGAGCAGAAACGGAGAGACACACAGGGGGGTCTGCAGACCAGGGACAGGAGGCAGGCATGGAGCCGCTCACACGGGAGGGAGACTTGGAGCAGGAGAGGGAGGGAGACAGAGAGAGAGAGAGACTGAGAAGTGCAGAGGAAATAAAAAACCCCAGAGAAACACAGAGAAGCAGAGAGATGGAGAGAGACACACAGAGAGTGACATACGCCGGGAAACATAATCAGACCAAGATTTCAGACCAGATGCAGAAGGAGCAAGGGAGACACAAGCAGACAGAAACGGAAAGTGGCAGAGGGCTGGGGAAGCAGACCCAACTAACTAATGAGGAACAGAGACAAGAGAGAGGGAGAAGGAGGTGCTGAGAGACATCGAGACGGAGGGATCCACAGCAGAGAGACAGGTGGGCGTCAGCTCAGGGAACGGCTTGGAGGCAGGCAGCCCTCCTGAGCTTAGGGGGGCTGGCTTGGAACCTTCCCCCCAGGCTGGTGTCACCCAGGCCCCCGGTTCCCAGGCTTTGGTGTCCCTGGTGTCCACACTCCAGGGAGGGGCGAGGACAGCCAGTGCCCATTCCCCTTCTGTCATGGTGTAGAGGTCTGGCTGGAGTTCAGCTCCAGGTGAGTTCAGAGGGCAGCATGGCCGTGTGGCCTGGCCTGGGTGCTCTTTGGGCCCGTCCTCACCAATAAGCAGAGAAAAGTGCTGGAAGATATTAGGATTTCCCAGGGGTTCAGCCCATTTTCAGAAAAAAGCAGTAAAGAAGCCCGTTGCTCAGGGACCATTGAGAAGAACTGCTGACCCCTCTGGGTGCAGGGGAAGGTCCCCAGAAGGGGACCAGGACTCCAGCCTGCCCGGCCCGAGTTCTGCTGGCAATGGCCGACGGGGTTTCGCGCCCCTCCAGGAGTCGTAGGCCTGGCTCCCCCTGCCCTGGGGGTGCCCCAGCCAGCCAGGCCTCCCTGCCCGGCACTGGGCCTGGGGGCTGGGGCCTGGGAGGGGCCCTCGGGCTGGGGCTGCACGGCTTTCTGCAGACAGATAGCTTGTTGAGACATGGGCTCCTGAGCAGCAGGTGGCCGACTGTGCCAGGCACCTGTGCTCCTGCTTTATCCCCCAGCTCCTGATGGGGACCTCCATCCTTGAAGCATCTGCTCCTGGGATAGCCGGCTTGCCCATCTTTTCCTGAAGCATTCCCAGGGAGATCACAGGTATTCGAATGGCCTCAATCTTGCTGTTAAAAGCGTAGTTCAAGTTGTCACGAAGATGTGCATGTGTCAAGGACTGGCCATGAGAGCTCTCCTTTCACCTCCCTGGAAAGCCAGGACCCCCAGGCCCCTGCAGCCACTCCCAGCTACTGCCCGTCAAGTGAGTGCTGCCCCCTGCCCAGGACAACCAGCTTCCAGGCGGGGACGGATCAGGAGTCCCAGCCCTCCTTCTGTGCAGGGCTAGCTGGCCAAGCTGGGCGCCCTCAGCGTCTGACGGTGCCGCCCCCGGACGTGTGGAGGCCCGGGGGAAGCCTGCACCTCACTGAGGGCTGAGGAAGCATGTTCTGGAGCACAGGTGTTTGGTAATGGCCATCTGGACCTGGCTGCCGTCTTCACGTTATGAAGTCCTCCACCCACCCCACTCTTGTCTGAGGGGATGATGGTGCCAGTTTGACAAAATCTAGAAACCCAGCACAGAAACTGGGGTGGGGGGTGGGCACAGTTCTGGGAAGCCCATCCCCACCTGGGTGTCCTTTGTCAAAGGATGGGTCTTGGGGGCAGGGGGCTGGAGCACATATCTATGGGGCCCCTCCTCCACCTCGCCCCTGTCACTCTCAGTTTATCCTGCAGAAATAGTCTCTTGCAGCTCCCTGCCTCTTTGCAACATCCTCAATGCAGGCCTTTCCCACAGGGCCTCAGGAGGAGGGGCCTCCAGGAAGCATTCACGTTTCCCAGCTTCATGGAGCCTCCCTGCCTGGCCCACAGGCCCTTGCATCCCTTTCTCCGGCCCTCTCCCCTGGATGTGCAGGTATGAATTTTCAGGAGCCTACCAGGCTCCATAAATAGTTTATATCATATCCAACTATTAAGCATGATTTTAATCCTACTTGTGATGTCGGCTGCATAACACGTAGAGGGCAGCTTTGATGTAGCTGGTGGAACCGAGACCGCACCGAACAGATGTTGCAGCTGAGAGTCTGCCAGTGTTCCCGTCAGCAGCGGGGGTGCGCGCGTGTGTTCAGGGGAAGCGCTACGTGGAGGAGGGGGCGGGAAACAGAGAAATTCCGTGACTTAGTGATTTTGTAGCACATCCATTTGCAGCTTGGCAGCTGGAGGCAGAGTCCAGATGTGGCGAGGTTTGGGGGGGCGAAGTTTTCTCTCCTGTGACTCAATCTGGGGCTGTGTCTTCCGTTGGGCAACATATAAAGACCAAGGAAAACAAACGACAAATGTGCTTTTGCTGAGTGTGGGTGCTTCTCGGTTGGCGGGGAAAACGAGCAGGTTTGCAAAGGTGGCTCTGACCCCCCACCCATGGTGGGGTCAGAACGGCGGGGCGCTCGCTGAGCGAACAGGTGAGCAAGTGGAGGGAGGAAGAGGGGCGGTGTGGGTGGAGAGAGCCTGTGTTTCTGCTTGGCATGAACATGCAAAATGCCTTGCGGGAGAGGACGAGTGGATGGAGACCTCTTCCCTGTTGGGGCTGGGGGTTGCCTTGGAGGAGGCAGCCCCACACCCCTGACTGCATGGCTACAGCAGCTGACAGGCGGAAGGGGCTTGTCCCACGCCAGGCATGGTGCCAAGGCGACGCCCTGAAAGATTTAAGGTGACCTCATGGCAATCCTATGAGGGAAACAGTGTTACCCCTGTTTACCAATGAGGAAACTGAGGCACAGAGAGGTTCAATAACCGGGGCAGCCTGGGCAGAGCCATGTCCAAACCGAGAGGGAGGCCGTGGCCTTAACCACTGTCCTGTACTTCCGTGGGTGGGTGGGGCTATGAAGCCAGACCCCTGGGTTCTAAGCCCCAGCCGGAGCTCATCCCCACGCCTCCCTCCTCATGGGGTGGAGACGTCCTTGGAAGAAAGGCAGGTGGCGCCCAGAGGCCTGGCCATGCGACGTCCTCCTCAGACGCAGGCTCTCATCTGTGCGCTCGGTAAATCGATCGTCTCATCAGAGTGCCCTGAGAGTGATGGCGTTTCATGGGTGGTGGGATGTTGTGTGGTGGCGACTCTCTGGTTGACAGGAGAGCTCCTCCTGGTGGGGTGGGTAACAGCCAGGGCCAGAAGCACTGCCGCTCGAGGGCCTCCCTGCCCGGGCCCAGGCTGCTGCTGCGGGAGCTGAGCAGGGCATTCTTCCATGCGGGGTTCGTAGCTGGCCCGTGCCTCCGACCAGCTTGGGGACTGGAGGGGAGAGGCAGGAAGGGGTGCGCAGTGGCCACAGCCAGCAGCTTGGTGGTCGGGGGCTTTTGGGTGTCTTGTGCCTCCCACCCTCATTCCTCCCAGGTTTGGCTTGTGTCTGCAGAGAGCTCTGATCCGTGGTCAGTCCTGTGGCGAGAGGGCACCTCGGACGCCATTTGGTGCAATCGGACAAGGAACTGGAGTCCCCGGATGGAGCTGCATGCTCGGGTCTGCGCGGCTCGTGGGCGGGGGGGCCTTTCTGGATGCCGGACCCCCTGAAGCCCACAGCCCCCAGCTTCCCCTCCACCGCTGGGCCTGCTGCTTGCTCTGTGTCTCAGCTGCTGCACGGAAGAAGCAGGTGGGTGTGGGGAGCCAGGAGCTGGCCTGGGGCTGGGGGAGGGGCCTCCCCCTCAGGCTGACCCTTGAACTTATACGCCCCCCCCCCGCCCCCGGGTCCTAGGCTTGGCAAGAACCCTGTAGTTCTTGGCTCTCACTGAGTGAGCAGTGAAAGAAAACCCCTCCTTGGCATGATGAAGACAGTGAAGATAGAGCCTCTCCCAGAACTCAGCAGCCATGTCTGGTATCTGCCGCGAGCCTGTCTGGAATCCCAGCCATCCCTCTGCCCTCTGGAATGTCAGTGGCATCTGCAAGGATGCAGACCCTGCGTGTGAACGTCTGCTCTGCAGGCTCTGGAGATGGGCTCAGAAAGCCCGAGGACGTAGAGCCTTGGAGAGCCATGTGGGGCAGAGTCCAGAGGCCAGGGATAAGCCAGGGATGCTGGGAAGTGTTTTCCAATGAATTGGGTTGAGAAGGAATAGCACGATAAGGAGGAAATGAACGTGAGCCTGCAGCCCCAGCCTTGTGGCTCAGCGCCTGTGACCCAGGCAGCCAGCCTCCCGTGGTGGCGCCATGATCCCCGGCGAGGGGTGGGTGGGGGGCGGGGGGCGGGTAGGTTTCAGGGAAGACCAGCTGATTTCTGGGAGCTGACAGTTTAAACCTAGCCTGGCCCAGCGCTGAGAGCGAGGCCACTGGGCACCTTGCTGAGCCCACCTCTGTTCGAGGGTACTGACAGGCACTTTGGGGGCCTGTGGGGGTCTCCGTCAGGGGACTTTTGGAATGAGATGCTGGCATGGCTTTGAAGCACCATCTCTGCTCGTAGTGGCTGTGGTAATGCACACTCGCCGAGGGCCCGGTGTTTGGAAGCATGGAGGAGGATGTACCAGCATCGGCTCTGCCCGCATTTGAAACCTACATGGCCTTGGGCAAGCTAATCAGCCCTCGGAGGCCTCAGTTTCCCCGGACAGGGTCCACAGCTATACCTACTCCAAATGGTGGTTGTACAGATTAAATGAGGTAATACATGTGAAGGATGGACTGCCTCTTCTTCCTCTTCCCTCCTTGAGGGACCCTCCCAGGAGGGGCGCCCTCCAGAGATGCTGGTGCTACTCTCCAAGTCTCGAACCCTGAACAGCTCCCAGCATCTCTGCTGTGGCCTCCCCTCCCAGGGAGTGTGTGGGGTGAGCTGGCAAGGCCAGTGGGTCCTGGGGCTGCCCAGGGGCTGCCCAGGGTATTTATTGGTGTGGAAGTTCCACCTGACACAGGTGTAGGGAAGAGGCTTAAACACATTGTTTGCCAAGAAAGCTCATCTGAGATGTTTTCACTTCGTGTGACAATAAGGACACGCTGGCCCTTTGGGTGCCCACGAACACAAATGTGGCCAGTCCCCGGAGCTGTCTGACCCCGTGCCTGCCTCAGGTGCCCTGCAGGGAGGGAGTCTGAAGGAGCAGGGTGGGGCCCGGGGAGCTGGTCGGCCAGGCCGAGTCCCTTCCAACACCTGAGCTCCAGGCAGGGGTGCTGGTTGGTGGCGTCGTCCTCCCCGGCCCAGGCCCGGTGGATACTCACGCTGGACATCGATGGTGACCGAGGTCTCCTTCCCTCCGGGGACGGCTTTGTTGGTGGCCCGGCACACAATGCTCTGCCCGTTCTCCACGTCTCCGGGGGAGATGAAGAGGGTGCTCACGATGCTCTCACGCTTGCCGTCACGAAGCAGGGTCTGGGGGGCGGGGCAGGGAGAGAAGGCCCTGTGTCACTCGGCTGGGTGGCCTGGGCAGCTACGGGAAGAGGGAGCCCTGTGCACGGGAGGGGGGCAGCTTGGGACCCCAGGGCGCCTGTCTCTGCACAGAGCTGGGGTTACCTTCCGCTCCCCGGTCAGGCTGAGTGCTGGGCTGCAGAAGAAAAGAAAGGAGAGCTTCCCATCATGGGTGAACATCAACCTGGACTTGCTGACTGCACATTACAAAGAAAACGAGGCTGCAGTCCCATGGACTGTGGTGATCTCCATCTGTCTGCCTTTCATGGCGGAGGGGTCCGCTGGGTCTGCACGGAGCTCTGAGACGTGGGCAACGGGCAGCAACAGAATTTGGGGGGTGTGGCTTGGGGCATGGGGTGAGGGTGGGCTGGGGGCGATGTGGGCAGAGTCCTTGCACACAGACTCTTTTTTACTGCTTCTTCTACGTAAACCCTTTCAACTTGTCGGACCATTTCGCTTCCTGGCCTCACTGTCGCCCTGACCAGGTTATGGGTAGCACAGATGCCATCATCTTCCACATGACAGGTGAGCAAACAGGGGAGACCAAGAGAGGCTTAGGGCTTGACCAAATTTACACCTCAAGGTGGAGGTGCAATAAGCCAGAGGGTCCTGTTGTGGGTTCAATCATGTCCCTGCCCAGATTCATGTCCCTCTGGAACCTCAGCACGGGACCTCGTTTGGGAATAGGGCCCTCGCAGATTAGTGAAGTAATTAGTAATTTGTTGATAATCTGCAGACAAGATTATCCTGGATTTAGAATGGGCCCCAAATCCCATGACCGGCGTCCTTACGAGTAGAGGAGACAGGAGAGACTCCTGGGAAGGAGGGGGTGGAGACTGGAGGGATGCCACCGCCAGCCAGGGCATGCAGCCGGGAGCCTCCCCGAGCTGGGAGAGGCCAGGGGCGGTCTCCCTAGGCCGTTGGAGGGAGCACGGTCCTGTCAAATCTGTCAGCGCAGACTTCTGGCCTCCACAGCTGAGAGACAATGCATTTCAGTCGTTTCAAGCCTCAGGTGGAGCGCTGGGTTAGGGGGCCCCAGGAAACTCATGCGGGTCCTGGGCCTTCGGCCCCCATCTTCCATTCCTGTTCCCACGGTGCCATGAGGTCATTCTGCAGCTAGTCCCACCATCGTTGCTGCACCCCCTCCCTCACCTGCACCCCTTTTCAGTTCCCTCCGAATCAGTTTGGTGCTCTGGAAGCTGAGCCCACCCATGGCCCACTAAGGTGGGTGTGTGCTGAGGAGGGGTGCTGGGCAGGAGGGCCACTCCCAAGGTGGGACTGTTGGCTCTGGGGGACTGCTGATGCTGGGAAGGGTCTTAGCTCCTTCCAGAAAATGGGTTTCCGGCGCTGTCTTATTTTGCCAGGATCAGAGCCAGGGAATAGAATAATAGTCTTTACTTCCTCAGAACCTTCCGTAAAATAATCACAGCATTGTCTCTAATCTCGCCAGATTCCGGAAGGAAGGGCATATTATCTCTGTTTAGCAGAAGAGAAAACCGAGTTCTAAGCGAGCCAGGAACTCGCTGGGCAGGGCTGGGGTTTGCACTTGAGAATAGTGACTGTTAGCCATGGCCCTCCCCCTGCAGCTCCCTGAGAGCCAGAAGGCGGTTGGCATGACCTCCACTTAAAGGTGGCAACAGTGAGAGAACCCCTGTGTAACCTTCAAGGTCACTGGGCGGCGAGCAGCACCACAGAGGCTGTGGGGACCGCTCTCTGGGTCCGCAGGTCAGCCTCGTCCTTCTCAGCTGGGGCGAAGCTTGTGGCCTCCAGCCCTGGACCGTGACCCGAGGCTCTGCCCAGATCAGCCCGTCCTGCGCAGACAAAGCCAGGCTCGGAGATGCTGGAAGGATTCAGAGAGCAGGACAGCCGTCCTCACTGTTTCTTCCAGACGCCTGAACACTGCCTGGGCCTGGGCGGGTGCTGGTGGCTCCAGGCCTCATGGCACATCTGTGCTTGGGAATCACCAGGTGGTGGCCTCAGCCCTGGGCAGAGGGGTCCTCGGAGAGGGGTTGGGGACAGGGATGTGGCCAGTCTGAGTCAGCCTCGGGACAGTCGGGGCAGCCAGGGGATTAGGCTCAGGGCCACGGTGAGGAACTGGAGAGAGGCCAGTAGAGGGACCTGCCAGGGGCCTGGGGAGCGAGGGAGGGAGTGAGGGACAGGTGCAGGGGTTGAGCCCCAGCCCTGATAGCAGCAGGCGGGCTGGGACTTGGCTGCGGCTGCGGATTGGCCCTGCTTATAAATAGCCAGGCAATAAGAACAGTTTCCTGGATGAAAGTGAGACCTGGGGTGGGTATGTCTATGTGGGGGGAGAAGGGAGAGTCAGTGCTATTCCCACCCCCCCATTGTTTACTTTTCCGTTGTGCTAACAAGGGACATTTAAATACGTTTGACTGGGCCGGGAGCCCTTCCACGATCTGCTCTTGCGGGGGGAAGGGCAGGGCCATCAGGGTGCTGGTGGGCGAGGAACCAGGAGCCCCCGCGCTCCTAATTAGGCCCTTGGATTGCCTCCCCACTGCCCTCCCCCCAACCCAGGCTGCTTCTCCGCCTCAGAACGATGATTAATGACATATTTACTGTGTCCGGGCGTGTGCTTTTCTGGGAAATAAAAATTCTGGTTCAAGTTGTTTGTTCCACCTAATTAGCAGAAAGGGAGATGCGTTCATTGAACTGGGGGGGGGCGCGAGGCAGGCGGGTTCTGGGCGAGGCTCCCAACTCTGGGGCCCCCCCCCCCCCCGGAGGGGCCGGCCCGTGGGGTGGCGGGGTCTGGCCTCCATCCACCAGGCCCTCATTATCTCCCTCCCTCATTCCTTTCTAATCTTCTCACCTCCCCTTTCCGCTTCCTCTTCTCCATCCTTCCTCTCTTACGCACCTTCCCTTTACTCATATGCAAATGAACCTTTGCCCTGCGTGGCCTTGAAGGTTCCGGGAGGTCAAACATTCTACTGTTTGCTGATTCTGGTCACGGCCCCACTTCACCTTCCCTCCCAGCTCCTTCCCTCCACTGAACTTGGCCCCGGGGACTTGCTGTGGGCCCCAGCCCCCACCTCCTTTTCAGAAACCTTCGTTGGTATGCAGGTCAGCTCATCCAGTGAATCGTCAATGGTGGGCCTTTCCTTTCTGGGGCCACCACTTCCAAGGCCTGGGGCAGCACTCCCTCTGGCTTGGTGGCTCCAGCGGTGCTGCCACATCCCAGCCCAGGCTGCCCAGGTGACCCTGTGGGCAGCTCTTGGGGATGCAGTGGGACTGGCCCATCTGTGTGTCAGGTGTGGACTGGGGCGGGGCGTACAGGAGACACGGGCACAGGGGTGAGTGCTCCAGAGCAGTGGCCTTCACAGATGGGCTTCCTCCCACTGCCTCCGTCCAAGGAGCTTTGGGACTGCCCCAGTGGCTGCCCTGGTGCTGCTTCCTGTCTGTGCCCCACCCCCAAGGGCAGGCACTTGGCTCCCAGGTGGCAGTGGCCCTGGAGGCTGGGCCGCCCAGGGACAGAATGCACCCTGGGTGCCGCTGCCCAGTGCGGCAGCAGTGGCCACTCTGAGCTGTCCCTGAGGCCTCCACTGGGAGGTGGAGAGCCAGGCTGAGCCCAGGACACCAGAGGTCTGGTGATGCCTGCTGGGGACCCCAGGTGATGCGGAGAGAGGTTTGGAGGGAATGCAGGGGGTGGGACCCCAGTCCCCCAGCTAAATAGGGGGATGCTCACTGATATGCAAATAGCCTCCAGAGGCCTTGAGTGAGACCCAATTGCCTGGCAACAAGGCTTCCCTTCCTCCCTTCCTCGCTCAGCTCCCTCTCCCACTGTCTGTTTTTTAATCATCTCTCTGCTCCCCTTGTTACAGCTGCCTGGGGAATCCTCTAGGGCTGGTTGTCATGCCGTGGCTTGAATAGGGATGCGAGGGAAGGTGAGACCGGCGTAGGGCCAGCTGCCCAGACCCTGCATCAGCAGGGACCCTAATCCTTGTGCCCTGGGGCCAGGAGTGGCACCCTTCACAGAGAAAGCCGCAGGCACCCGTAGGGACTCTAGGCCCCTAAGATAGCCAGATGGTGTGGGGGGTGCTGGGGTGACTGGTGGGGAGAAAGAGCTAGGCTCCGGCGAGGGGGTGGTAATCCAGGGCCCAGTGAGACCCGCGGTCCTGGCGGTGGGCAGCCCGTTGGACAGGCCGCTGGAGGAAGCAGAGAAGCAGGGCTGGAGGGTAAGGGCCTTCCGAGTGGATACGCGCACCCGGCTGTGCTGAGACTCGGCCCCTTTCCAGCGGCCAGGCCTCGTTCCTGCATCTGGCAGCTGTGAGCCAAGCAGCGGGTGGAGCAGGACCTGGCTCCCTGGGGAGACGGCTCTCCGGGCTCAGCCCCTACAGTCTTCCCTCTGCTGCCACAGCCTGCCCTGCCTCTCCCGGTGTGTGTGTGAGTCTGGTGCCAGAGGACACGGGCCATACAGAGAAGATGGCCCCAGTCTGGGGGTGTCCAGCAGGAGGACTTGGAGAGAGGCCTTGCTCTGGGCTCTCCGGGCTCCAGTGCTTCTGCACCCAGACGCCTGCTGGGAGCCCTGGGTGCTCACCCAGGCTGGGTGCTCTGGTGGCCGTGTGAGGACGGGGAGTCTGTGCCGGGGTTCTCCTCCCAGGTCAAGGGGTCTTGGCCCTCCTCCGAGATGCCATCCTCCGTCCTACCAGCTCATGCGTCCCCTGCTGGCCACATGGTGAAATAGCAGAATGAGTGTTCCCTGCACGCAGTTGTGCGACCTCCTGGGAGAGCAGGGCTGGGTGAGGCAGGCCCGGGAAGAGGGACCCCATAATGGCAGCTAATGTGTGTGGAGCTCTGAATCTATGCCAGGCCCTTTACCGAGTGCTTTTGGACGTGGTTGCCTTTGAGTATCCCAGCAGTCCGTACAGGTGTCTGTGGTTATCACTGTGCCATTTTGCAGCCGGGGAAACTGAGGCAGAGAGCTTCAGTTACCATAACAGGGGATGGAACTCGGGTCGAACCCAGGTCTTAGGGCCACCAGGCCTGCTCTATACAACGCTGACTGTCTCCTGTGGGACATGTGGGTGGTGGTGAGGGGCTGGGGGGCGGTTGCCGCCTGTGAGGATCAAGGGAGGTCAGGCAGCGACCCAATGGCCACGCTTCCTGTGCGCTCGCTCTGCCAGACCCCTTCTCATGCAAGCCTCGCAGGCCTCTGCTGAGGCAGGTGCCACTGCTCCCATTGTACAGATGGGGACACTGAGGTGCACACGGTGAGGCAGCTTGCCCACGGTCATGGAGTTAGAAGGTGGCAAAGCTAGGCTCAAATTGAGGCTGCCCAGCTCCCAGGCCCATTGGCATAGCAACCCACCCACCGTGGCAACCATACTGAGGCTTCAGACCTGGGCAGCTAGGGATGCCCTGCGTGGCCTCTCCCGGGACCTGGCCCCCCTGGCTGTGTGCGCTCGCTCTCCCAACCTCTGTCTCTGGATCGGTCACTCGTGTCCAGCCACCCCCCACGCACGGCCTGTCAGGGTGGCTCTGCCTTTGGGACTCAGAGATGCTGTGGGAGTGGCCCCCCGCAGTCCTGGGGGCTCGGGGGCAGTGGGGTGGGGGCCTGGACAACCCTGCTGGGCCACCCACCCTTCTCCACGTGCTCCAGGTTGCAAGTCTCTAGCTTGTTGGAGCTGGCGGACGCTAGTTAGGGGTGGAGTCCTGTCCCCCCTTGAATTCACGTGGCAGAACCCTGGTTCCTCAGTGTGAGCGTGTGTGGAGACACGGTCTTTAAGGAGGTAGGTAAGGTTAAGTGAGGTCATCAGGGCGAGGCCCTAGTCCAGTAGGACTGGTGCCCTATGAGAAGAGGAAGCAGGTTCCAGAGACCTCTCCCCGGCACACACAGAGGGAGGGGGCCACGTGAGAGCACAGCCAGAAGGTGTCATCTGCAAGTCAGGAAGGCAGGTCTCACCGAAACCAGCCTCGGCCGGCACCGTGATCCCGGACTCCCAGCCTCCAGATCGGTGCCTGCTGCTGAATCCCCCGTCGGTGGTGTTTTGTTTTGGCAGCCCTTCCCTGCTAATACAGAGCATCTGATCCAACCCCTCTGTTTTACAGACAAGGAAACTGAGGCCTGGGGATGACCTCCTGGGTTCACACAGAGTGGGACCGGGACCCAGGACCCTGGCTGCCCAGTGCGGTCCTTCCTGCCACAGGCCGGTAGGGGCGAGAGCAGGGTTGGGTGGGCGGAGGGTGGGGCATGACCTCCAGCTCCCGTTCGTGGCAGCACAGTGTCAGGCAAGGGGTCCAGGTGGTCCCCACACAGGTCCAGCAAGGTGACTCTGACCTTTATTTTCACCAGCTGAGGGTGTGTCCCCTGCAGGACATAAACCCTGGCGTGGGCCAGGCTGGCCCAGCCTCAGGGAGGGACTGGACAGACGCCCAGATTGGAAGGAACACCTTTTCCCTCCCCTGTCACCCTCGCCTGCAGGACGCACCGCTGAGTCATGCTTTTGTGTTTTGTGACCCTGCAGGAGGCTCCCGCCCAAGACAGGGGCGAGGGATGCCTCTCTCACCCGGCAGCTTCCCCTTGCCTGGATTTGCACGGGGAAAGGCTTTTGTCTGGGGTTCCGGCACCCAGCTCTGGGTGGGGACCTTGATCAGCAGCTCAGGGTTGACTCCTTGGGAGGGTGGGGGTCAGCTTTGGACAGGAAGGACACAGCCTCAGAAACCAGATAGGCTACCTCATTCCTCCCAGGAGGGTGAAAGCTTTGCTTTTCTTTCTAAGGACCTTGGAAGAGGTGCCAGGGTGGCAGTGGGGAGCAGGTGGTGTACCTCCAAGTCTCTGAGGCCATGAGCAGCGGGGAGAGCCGAGTGCTGTGGTGCTGCCTTGCCCAAGGCCCTGGAGTGTCTCTGAGCAGCCGCCCACCCCCCTGAGACTGGAGAGGCTCATGGTGAGGAGACCAGGGTTTCTGTCCACTTGTTGGCCGAGCAGGGTGCTCCCTCCCTGTCAGACCGCCGTGTTCTCCCTGCAGACCAGGCATCCCTGCGTCCAGGTCCCGCTCAACTTTCTTGGCTCTGAGGCCCAAAGCCCGTCTGCACCTCTAGGCACAGTCTCCTTGAGTGGAGTGTGTGGAGTGCTGTTTCAAAGTGCACCTGGGATTCCGTCATCATCCAGGTGGGGTGAGGCCAGCAGATCATGACTGAACTGCCATTGAAAGGTGGTTTGTTACCCAGGGCACCCAAAGGTGGAGGCCACACAGGGCAGCCCTCGGGCCTGTCAGGAGGCCTACAGACAGGCTGAGGGAGCAGGAGAGAAAACCAGGGTGTGAGCATTTGTTGTGGTTTTTCCTGGGGGCCCCTCTCCCCAGGCAGGGTAGGCAGTTGGCCAGGTTCTCGTCTGCTAGCTACCTGGAGGAGTTGGGGGTGGGGGGGGCAGGCCCTGGGGGTGGTGTGGGTTAGTGACCCAGTCACAGTGACCTGGCCTGCATCACAGAGGGCAGGAGGAGCGCTGGGGCCTCCGGAGAGGGGGTGGGGAGGGGATGGGCCCCCCACTGTTTGGTTTGCACATCAAAGGCGTGTTCTCAGCATGTCTCTAGGAACCAGCTGGCCCCGCAGGAAGAGCAACCCTTCCTCACAGGAAGGCCTGCAGATGTCAGAGCATCATAAAATACAGAAGACAAGCAACGTGGGTCATTCAGGGGTCAGTTCAGGGCACTTGCAGCACGCGGCTCGTCGGTCGTGCGAACGGGGAAGCAGTGCCCCTGCGGGCGGGCAGGCAGCACGGGTGGGTGCGGGGCGGGCTTCAGCGCTGCCCCCAACAGGGACACACCTGAGCGGTCCTACCTGCAGCCCTGGAGTAGTGGCCCTACCTGCAGCCCTGGAGTGGTGGCCGGACTTAGCAGGTCAAAACACAGGGCTCTCAGCTACAAATGAATTTCGGAGACGCAGTGAATAATTTTTTAATGTGAGTAGGACCCACAACTGTGCACCATACACTATTTGGGACACACTTATACTGAAGAGTTATTTGTTGTTTATCCGAAATTCAAAGGTAGCTGGGCATCCCGTATTTTACTTTATTTTATTTTTTATTTTTAGAGAGAGGGGAAGGGAGGCAGGAAGAGAGGGAGGGAAGCATTGATGTGAACATCAGTTGGTTGCCTCTCACACGAGCCCTGACCAGGGATCAAACCTGCAACCCAGGCCTGTACCCTGACCAGGAATCGAACCGGCGACCTTTCACTGTGCGGGACCATGCCCAGCCCACTGACCCACACCCGTCAGAGCAGGCCTCCCATATGTTATCTGGCAACCCTGGACCCTGGCCACTTCAGTCCTCAGTATCCCCCTCTGACACAGTTACTCCAGGGAAGAGGAAGAGAGACAGCAGCAGTCGAGAGAGACAGAGCGAGGGAAAGAGAAAGTGATGCTCAGGAAAAGAGGCAGAGAGACAAAGAGAGAATCAGAAGTGACAGAAAGGTGTGCACAGAGCAGGAGCTGCAGAGGTGGGGAGAGCGGGACTCCTCCCATGCAGGCCCCGCCCCTCCCTCAGCCGGTCTGCCCTGCCCTCCGGACTCACCTTGGAGTAGGTGGCCCCGTTGATGACCTCTCCCTTCCGCAGCCAGATGATGGAAGCCGCAGGCTTGGCGTTGTCTGCGTGGCAGGTGAGGTTGAGGGGGTCCCCTGCCCGCAGGCTGATCACGGGCCCCCCCAGGATGACGGGGTCATCGGGTGGCACTGTGGGGAGAGGAGGCGAGAGGTCACGGGGAGGGAAACTGGCCCCTGCAGCCAGGCAGGCCTGCAGAGCTGGTGGCCGCGAGGGAGCTGTGACAATAATCATCACACTTTAATAAACACATAATCCCCTTATAGTACAAATATGGTAACAGCAGCAGTAATCCTGGACATGTTCATTGCGTGTTTTTTTGCAGAGGATGTTCTTATCACTGAATCGTCCTCTGCCTACAAGGAGCCTGTGAGGGGGCAGGACAGGCGTCCTTGACCTTCTTCCCAGGAGGAGGGGCAAAGCTCCGGTGCCTAGAGAATAGCCGGAGTTTCTCTGAATTTTTAATTTTTTTTTTAAACAAAGTACCGTCCCATCTGTCATCCGGTTGAATCCTCACAACGATCTTGCTAGATAAACACGATCATTATCCCAATGACACACGTCCGGACGCTGAGGCGCAGCGGGGTTCCGGGACTTGCTCAGGGCCACACTGCCAGCGAGCGGCGGAGCCAGGGCCGGAGGCCAGGCCCCCTCTCCGGGGCAGGGGACGGGCGACTTTGCAAGACTGGGAGGGCTGTGCGGCCCCCGGCATTGCCTCAGCATTTACCCTTCCAGAACTTCCCAGCGCCCTCGCCCCAGAGTGGCACGGGGAGTGCCAGGAGGTGCGGACACCTGCCCCGGGGCCCTGCACAGAGCCTGGCGCCTGGTGGAAGGCCCACAAGTGTTCGCTCATGCTGGGGGAGTTGCCCCGTCAGCCCCATGACGACGGCGGGGTGCAGGGTGGGCCGCTGTGACAATATGTGGCCGTCACTTGGAGAAGAGGCCCAGAGAAGGGAGGTGCCTGGCTGAAGTCACACAGCCTCTCCCGATGTCAGGCGTGTGGACACGTGGAAGGCACCGGGCTTCTGATGCCGCCCGCCTGTCCCTCTGGACCAACGGTGCAAAGGGCGGGTCTCCCTCCAGACCGACTGAGCCACCCTGTTCTTCCCCGCCCAGGGAGGGACCGGGCCCGTGCCTTCTGGAGGCCTGGGAAGGGCTGACTGCACGTTTGCCAGTGAGTGGTAAGAGGGCAACTGAGTGACAAGCTAGGTTCTAGAGCAAAGGACCCCAGAGGCCAGAGATCAGTCCGCACAGGCCCTGTGAGAGTTTCCACGCCGTGGGCTGGGCACAGATGGCTGCAGCGGCCCCAGGCCCCCCCCCCCGCCCACGCAGCAGGCTCTGCCTTGTGGTTTGCCCTCCCCACACCAGGCGCATCTTCAGCCCCGGGCTCCACCCCTCCCTTCCTGCCTGGAGCAGGCGTGTGGGGAGCTGCAGCCCAGGCAGTGCCAGCCCCAGGCGTCTTCTTCCTGAGGGAACTTGAAGCCTCAGGGCCCCCAGACACCCTTGCCGGCCCAGGGCTCGGCCCAGGGTCCTGGCCTGGGGACGAAGTTTGGGTCCTCCACACCAGCCCCCACCGGTGGGTGGCCCTGGGCACAGATAGGTGGGGGACAGTGAAGCACCCACCCTGCCCACCGTGCACCCTCTCATTAGTGCCTGGGGTGCGGGTGTGGCCCGAGAGCAAAGGGAGGCTAATGAGGGCTTTCCATACATGGAGGTGGGCATTACAGTGGCTGCGGAGGGGATTTTATCTCCCCGGAATGGGCAGGCCCCTTCCGGTAGGGAGGGCTGGGGCTGGGTCTCCTGCCCCCTCCCTTCGGTGGGGACAGCCTTCTCCCCACAGGGTGTCAGGGGCAGAGGCATCCCAGCTGAGCTAGCTGAGGGCCAGGAAAATCCGAAAGAGCCACGCGGAGCTTCAGGAATAGAGGCAAGAAGCCCAGAGGTGCGGCATGGTGGACCGTGCCCTCTGTCAGAGGGTGAAGCCACAAGAGCAGTCCCTATATTGGCTTTATTTCCTCCAATATAAAATGTGAAAGTGCAATCTGGAAAGTTCTCTCCAGCACAGACATTCATTGGGTCTGAGGTAGTGGTTTTTAGTCCTGGCTGCGTATTAAAATATGGGAGAAAATTTTAAAATTGGGGCCACACCAACCAGCTAAACTCAGTTTCTGGAGGAGGGCACCAAGCAGCAGGAGATCGATCGATCTATCTATCTGAGAGAGAGAGAGGAAGAGGAGGGGGGAAGAGAGAGAGGGAAACATTGATTCGTTCCCCCCATGTACGCATCCACTGGCTGCTCCCTATGTGTGCCCTGACTGGGGATCCCACCCGAGTCCTCGGCGTACCTAGATGATGCTCTCACCCATGAGATACCCAGCCAGGGCCCAGCACCAGGAGCTTTTAAGGCTCCCAGAGGATTCCAGCGCGGGACCAAGTTTAACGAGGCAGCTCTCTCTGGGGCTTTGCTCAGGCTCCTAACTCCTGGATCACAGTGCGGAGTTTCCCCAAACTGAGGGCCGGGAGGGGCGCCGCCCGTCCTCCCTGCAGTACCGAGCTATGCTGCGAACACGGGAGTAAGGGCACGAAGACCAGGGGAGAGGGGCGCGGGACTGTGCTGTGTGAGGGCTTGGGCGCACACTCACTCACACACACAAACCTCCACCCGCAGAATGGTCCTGATTACATCTTCCCAAATAAGTGGTTATCACACCGGTTATTCGTGTAGCTACGCATTATTGATTGGCCTTCGCCTGGCTGCACAGCAGATGGGTGGGGGTGGGGTGCAGATGGGGCTGGGTGTGTGGGGTGGGTGGGAGGATGTTTGGGGGCCCAGAGGCTGAATAGAAATCAACAGTCGCCCTCGCAGCTGCAGCTCTCGTGTAAAGAGGGGAGGACTCATTACCTCTCTATTCAGAGGGGCCCAGAGCTGAGGCGCCAGGAGGGGAGAGAGTCTGGCGCAGCCCGAGCCTGGACATGCATTATTCATGCAGCCCCCTCACGGGATTGGCTATTATCCCGAACCACGATAGAGTTTGGTCTCCTAATTTTTAATCACAGGGAAGGTGGAAACGTTAGCCTTTTGTGATTAATCTGGAGATAAAAATAGTTGACTGTGTTGGCGTTGGGCTTGTTGTCAGTCGGGAAGAAGGTGTTAACTGTTGGGTGACTGAGGCCCAGGGCACCCCCCGTGGGTCCCAGGGACAAGTGGGTGCCCGGGGCTGGGAGCCGGGCTGGGGAGGCCGCCATGCAGGCCCAGACGGGCGGCATGAGGGAGAGCCCCATCTGGCTGGCTCCGAGGCGTGTCCTGACATGGCAGGTCATGTGAGCTGAGGCTCCTCAACTCACCGCGGGGGTGGCTGGCTGTGGGTGGTTGGCTTTGTTGTCACCCAGATTCGGGCAGGTGGCTGGGGGTCTCCTGCTCTACCCTGCCTCCCACCGGCCCCGAGGACAGCCACCCACGGGTGGGCAACATGGGGCCCCCATCTCTCTCCTGTGTGCCGACTTTCTCCCAGCTCTGCTGTCAAGAGCAAGGGGCCCCTGTGGGGAGGTGGGCGGGGGGGGGACACAGTCCAGTTCTGTACTCACAGAGAGGACACGGAGGCCAGAGAGCACGAGGGGCTGCCCTGAGTTACTGTGAGGGAGGGCAGGGAGGGGAGGGCCTGGGGCTGGGGGTGCACCCTGACACTGGTGGAGGTAGAGCTGTTGTAGTTTGATGCTCTGAGGTCCTTCATGCGTTTTACAGAGACAAGAGATTCCGTGGCTCAATGTGCGTGGAACCACTGACTGTACCCATTGCCACCTGTAAGATGTGCTCCCTTAAGGATGCGCAGCATCCCTTTGAGCCCTTCCGCCCCTTGGGCCGCGTCCTGCCCTTGATCCCAGTGCAGGGGCAGCTCTGCCTACGCCTGTGGCATCCAGGCCCCTCAGTCTAAGTGTCAGAAGGCCAGGGAGCAGGGGCCGAGCCGCCGGCGGGTGCTTGAGAACCGTCTGCTGTGGGAATGGACACGCGGCATTTGCAGTCCAGACCCTCGCCTTGCTCACTTTAGTCCTCTGCCCAGGTTCTGAGACGCCTGGAATCCCAGCAGCCTCTATTCCTCACGCACATAGACACGCCACCTATTGGCCAAAGTGGAGAAGCACAGAATGTAAAGACAGGACTGGGGATGAGACCGCGTTTAGGGATCTGCCTCCCAGGACAGCTCAGCATTAATTCAGAAACTTCACATGGAGTGCCCACTCTGTGCCAGGTCCTGTGTGAGGCATGGGAACACAAAGCTCCTGCCTGCGTGGAGTTTATATTCCAGCGAAGAGATGGGCACTAATGACTCCATGCATAATGTATTTTGGGGTATTGGTGAGTGCTCAGGAGCCAAGACTGGGTGGGGCATAGAGAGATCCTGGGTGGGTCTCCGGGGCTCTCTTCCACTTTTCTCCATGTGCTCCAGCTGTCGCTTTCCGTCTCCCCACCAGCCGTGGCGACTGCTCCCCCAGGGCCGGCTCTCCCCCACGCTGCCTGTGGAGAAGCACATCGCTTTCCGACGGACCCCCGACCACGGCAGGCTGATGGACCCCAGACACGTGTGTTCGCTGTGGTGGGGACTGGCACCTCCAGGGAATGACAGCTTGTTCTGGACTCCATCCCCTTTGCCCCGCCTTGTCACACACCCTCGTGCATTCTCCAAGTGCCCTCAAACGTGCCAGTCTCTCGGTCCATCCCAGAGTCCTCCTGGCTCAGGCCCTCATCTTTGCCTCTTCTTCTTGGTTAACCCTCACCCGAGGTTACGTTTTTACTGGTATTAGAGAGAGAAGAAGGGAGAAAGAGATAGAGAAAGACCTACGGGAGAAACAGATCAGTTGCCTCTCGTTCGTGTCCCCGACCAGGGATTGAGCCTGCAACCCAGGTACATCCCCCGACTGGGATCGAACTCGCAACATCTGGGTGTGTGGGATGACGCTCTGACCAACCGAGCCACCCGGCCAGGGTGGCCCTCATCATTTCTTGCTTGGATTATGCTACCTGATGCTCTCTCCCTCCTGCGTCCACTCCGCACTGTCCCAGAGTGGCCGGCACAGACGACTGGTCACTCACCCGTCTCCGCCCGAGTTCACTCACTCCCTGTTTGCTGAGTGTCTG